TGTCTCCTTATTTTCATCTCCCTGACCTTTCCCAACACTTAGCCACAACTCTACTTCTGACTTTTTGCTGGTTAACTGGATATGTGAGGGGGGGGGGGAAGTGGGGGAAAAAAAGCCTTTTTATGTCAAACCAAAGTGTTATCTTGAGATATCCTGTTATTTTTTGCTTTTTAACTTCGATTGTAACTATTATCTGCACTGTGTGTGACCAGCCAGCCATGTTAGGAATATGAATCTTGTGTCAAAGGAATTAAAACAATAAACTGCATCTACCAGGTGTGCTGCTTGTGACAAGCTGGCCATGTTAGCAAGATAAATATTTATCAAAGGAGTTAAAAGGAATAATCAGGCCTGGGATGTAGCTTGGTGGCAAAGTGCTTGCCTAGCAAGTGCAACATCCTGGGTTCAATATCCAGTACCAAAAAAGAAAAGCCAAAAACACAGTTAAAAAACACACAAAATGGGGCTGGGAAGGTGGCTCAGTGGTAGAGTGCTTGCCTTACACGCATGAGGCCCTAGGTTCGATTCCTCAGCACCACCTAAGCAGAAAAAGCCAGAAGTGGTGTTGTAGCTCAAGTGGTAGAGCACTAGCCTTGAGCTGAAGAGCTGAAGGACAGCGCCCAGGCCCAGAGTTAAAGCCCCAGGACCAGCAAATAAATAAATAAATGGAATAAGACCCCCTGGAGTGGGAGCATTCCACTGATCCCATCAATCTCTTCCAACACTGTGTGCCAGCCACTCAGTTCCTAGACTCTCTCCTAGCCAGGTGTGACAAGAAAGAAATGTAAGCCTTTGATAAGAATTAAACTGCACCCTTTCTAATCTTGGTAATCAATTGTACTTCCAATGTGAGCCTAGCAGGGAGCAGGTGGTTCATATCTGTAATCCTAATGATTTAGGAAAGTGGGATCCAAGGATCGGGGTTCACTTGGAAGCCACACTGGGCAGGAAAATCTGAGAGACTCTTATATCCAATTAGCCACCAACCTTGAGCATAGAAGCTCATGAACACTGCCCAGATGCAGAGTTTAAGCCTCAGGACTAGCAAAAGAAACAAAAAAAGAGAATGCTAACCTAACTTCTAGACAAGGAAGGATTGGAAATAAAACCTAGTAGAATGCCTTGCAGGGTGTACCTGCCTAGCTCTGAGTAGAATAACAGTATTGCACAGTTGTGTGTATGTGCTGGTACTGAGGCTCACACTCAGGGCCTCACACGCTTGCTAAGCTGGCACTCTACCACTTGAGCCATACCTCCAGTTCTGCTTTTTTCTTCTGGTGAGTTAAGAGTTAAGAGTCTCTCAAATTTGTCTGCTTGTACTAGCTTGGAAACACAGTCTTCCTGACATTCTCATATTTCCACACCTCCGGAGTAGCTAGGATTACGGGCATGAGCCACAGAAACTGGCTTCAGTCATCTTTTTATCTTTGCCTGGATAGGATCCATGTTGACTGTCTTAGGTGCCAGAACCTGCTGGCAACAAAAGGGAATCCTGATTTAGGGGGTGAGGATGAGAAAAAAAAAAAAGACATAAGACATGGGGCTGGGAAGGTGGCTCAGTGGTAGAACGCTTGCCTTGCATGCCTGAGGCCCTGAGTTCGATTCCTCAGCACCACATAAGCAAAAAGAAAAAAGCCGGAAGTGGTCCTGTGGCTCAAGTGGTAAAGCGCTAGCCTTGAGCTGAAGAGCTGAGGGACAGCACCCAGGCCCAGAGTTCAGGCCCCACGACCGGACCCAAAAAAAAAAAAAAGACATAAGACAAAGGATGGGGTTGGGAGGTCTGCAACTCAAGACTGCAGCACCATTTTTAACTTTCCCTAATATATACTGTTAGAAGTCAAGAAGTAGCATAAGGTTACTATAGTCCAGAAAAAAAACAAGAAAAATTTCAGTAAAAACAGAGTGTAGTAAAAACAAGATAAGGTCAACTGGTAGAAAGTTAAACAAATTGCAGATATAGCAAAGCAATCCCAGGCACCTGGTGTTTTTCAAGTAAGGCAGTTCCTTGTTCTCTCACCATTGAGAATCTATCTTGCCAAAGCCCTCCCATAAATATCCATTTATATTAATAAAGCAACTATAATGATGCAATAAACACCAAGTACACCCTAAAACAATTTGCAAATAAACTAAATGTGATCACTGACGATTTTTGTGTACAGTGAATTATTACCTATGTCTGAGTCTAACATGCTTGCCCACACCAGAAGTTCCTCATATATGTGAGTCAGACTTACCAAAAAGACATGACAATGGACGTCTTTGACCTCCCAGAATGGAACTGCTTACAGGAGGCTATGCTGATTTCAGTGGTCAGAAGTGAGATTCAAAAATTTTAGGAAGAAAGCCAGGTGCTGTGATCTTAGAGTCACAGTTCAAAATCAGCCTGTAAGACTCTTTTAACTCCAATTAAACACCAAAAAATCCAGAAGTGAAATTGTGGCTCAAGTGGTAACATGCTAGCCTTAAGCACAAAAGCTTAAGGACAGTATCCAGACCAAGCCCCAGGACTGGTTTTCTCTCTCGGTTCTCTCTCTCTCTCAACACACACACACACACAAATTGGGGTGGTGGAGGTAAAGAATTAGGTTTTGGCAAGTGAGTGTGGCAAGTCCCCTAAAGACTCAAGGGTTAAAGACAGTCTCCAGCTGATGAGGCTATTGTGATGTGGGAGGACCTCTGGGAGGTGGGGCTTAGTGGAAGGAAGTTAGGTCATTGGTGTGTCTTTAAAGAGGATGTTGGGACCCTAGATGCCTTCTCCTGCTCCTATATCCCCACTCCTATCTCTCTGTCTGTCTCTTTCACTCTGCTTCCTGACTAACAAGAAGTGAAAAGCTTTGCTCCTCCACGTGTGTGTGTGTGTGTGTGTGTGTGTGTGCGCGCGCGCGTTGTGTCTGGGGCTTGAATTCAGGTCCTCACACTCTCACATGGCTTTTTCACTCAAGGCTAGAGCTCTGCCAGTGGAAGGAAAGCAGGATGGGAACAAGCGAAGGAGCTCTTTGTGCAGAGATGGAATCTTGAGGTATAGGGAAGGGTTTTTCAAAATCATATATAATCTTTATTAATAGTTCTGCAACATATATACTTTCCAAATGGTAAAGATGTAGAAGTTGATGTTCCTAACAAAGTGGCTTTATAACAACTGGATTATCTTCCAGGAAATTTGTCTCCAAAATTATTATTCTTCAAACCTCATTATACTGCTGGTATTTGTTTTTCAGCTACTTTTATTCTTCAAGGCCCAATAAAGATACCAGAAAGTTGTTTAACCTTTACAAAAAGGAAGGAACTTTAAGAAGAAAAAGTGTTTTGTTTTTGTTTTGCCAGTCTTGGGTTTGAACTCAGGGCCTGGGCACTGTCCTTGGGCTTCTTTTGTTCAAGGCTAGCATTCTACCACTTGAGCCACAGCACAGCTTCAGGCCCTAAGTGTTTTCTTTAAGTCCTTCTAATGAAGGACTTACCTTTCCACTCTGGGCTCAATCTTCTTATGGATCTAAAGACAGAATATGAAGGATTGACCCCCACACCATTACCTCAGACACCTATAGATGTCAGGCAAAATTATAGTTGTGTGTAGACATGTTTGACTGCAAGTGAGACTTTCCCATCCAGGAGCCACAAGTTCCTGCAACCAGCCTTGTGTAAAATATTCCATTGTGAGCCTGATCAGAAGGCCCACCTCACCAGACCTAAAGGTCTTTTGATTTGAAACACTTTTCCTGACCCAAACCCCATAAAAGCCTCACTTCAACCTCACCTCCTCCCATTACCTCAGATCCCACAGGACGATTGCTGCCCCTTGTTGTTCCTCAATAAACAGTCTTGTTTTAAAAAATATTCTAGGAAGTGGCGCTGTAGCTCAAGTGGTAGAGCGCTCGCCTTGAGCTGAAGAGCTGAGGGACAGCGCCCAGGCCTAGAGTTCAAGCCCCATGACCGACAAAAAAAAAAAAAATTCTAATATTCAACTCCAAGAAGGTTTTATTTTTTTAAAAAAAAAAAAAACAAACAGCATATGTTTTTATCAGATATATCTACAGTTCACAGCTTACCTCTTTTATCAAGATATGTTTGGGGAGGGGAGATGATTAAAGTGAGGTCTGTAGCCTGGGCAGTTCTTAAACAAAGCTATCTGGGAGAAAGATGAGTGTTTTAAGCTTAAATGATTTTCTATCAAAGTAAATTGCTGGGCTGAGAATGTGGCTTAGTGGTAGAGTGTTTAACTAGCATTCATGAAGCCCTGGGTTTGATTCCTCAATACCACATAAACAGAAAAAGCCAGAAGTGGTGCTGTGATTCAAGTAGTAGAGTGCTAGCCTGGAGCAAAAAGCAGCTCAGGGACTGTGCCCAGGCCCTGAGGTCAAGCCCCAGGACTAGCAAAAAAAAATGAAACAAATAAATTGTCTTGATGAAATCTGCTATACTTCTGTGCGCCTATTAATTTCTGAACTGGAGAGTCCATGTGTGTTTCTTACAGAGATAAGAGTCTCCTAGACTTTTCTAGCCCAGGCCAGCTTCAAATCTCACCTCAGATCTCAGCCTCCTGAGTAGTTGGGATGATAGGTGTGAGCCACAGTCTCTAGGTCCGCACATACTTTTGATGTGCTACCTTGCCACGACTCAGAAAACAACCTCTTTGGACAAAAGCCTCTAAAATAATAAATTCTTCCTCTAGATTGAAATTATCATTGGCATTTGGCTATAATGAAAGTCAGTTGACTGCATCATAATTCCTGAGTGTCACAAGCTCTGAAAACTTGATATAAGTGTGCCATGTACCGGTGACCAACCTATAAGGATATTGTAAAGTTGCCACGGTAAACCACACCTTGATGATCAAGTTGGACTTCTGCTCTGTTTAACTGAATACCTGATTCATACTTATAATTGAGACTGCTCAAGTGTGATTCAGTGATAAAACATCAACTTAGTGAGTGTGAAACCCAGGTTCAAATCCTCTAGTACCAGCAACATGGGAAGAGTCTAAAGTTGTGTAGACCCCCATGGAGCAGTTCAAGAGTGTCAAGATGCTGGCCATTGGATTAGCCTTTCTGGCTTGGGTGAGTACTTCTCTTGCCTTCCTTCTCTTTACTGGCTTGTTTCTTCTCTTGGGTTTGGATTGTTTAAATGATCTTATTAAGAAGGAGAGACTGAAGAAAGCTCTCAGTCTTCTTATCTCCACCCCTGGGTGATTTCAAGACCTGTAAGTACACGGTGGAATGTCAGCCTTTGAACTAGGGTGACCAGGTTGGACCAAGAAAGAAATCTAAGATATAAACCCAGAAACGAGTTATTATAGAGAAATTGTAGAGAAAACGAGTAAGGGATTGACATTGCTTTTTAAAAAATTTTTATTGTCAAGGTGATGTACAGAGGGTTTACAGTTACATAAATAAGGTAATAATTACATTTCTTGTCTAACTTGTTGCTCCTTCCCTCATTTTTTTCTTTTTTTTTTCCCTCATTTTTTTCCTCTTTTCCTCCCCCACTTTTTGTGTTTATTTTTTGCCTTTCAAAAGTGTTTTCCTTTCTGCCTCGGTGTAAGAGGAAGACAGGAAAGTCCACAGTGTCCGGCTAGCATGAGCTTCTCAGAGAGAGAAAGAAGCAGGGAGGGCTAGGCGTAGTGGCACATGTCTGAAGTCCCAGCAACCCTGAGGTAGGGACAGAAGGATCATGGTTTCAAAGACCCTATCTGGAAATCAAACTAAAAGACAAAAGCAGTTCAAACCCCAGAAAGTTAACAAAAATAAAGCAAAGCAAAGCCCAAGCAGGAAAGTACATAAAGTTCTTATCTCCAGTTAATCATCAAAAAAGCCAGAAATAGAGCTGTGGCTCCAAGTGGCAGAGTATACGCTTTAAGCAAAAGAAGTTCAGGGACAGTGACCAAGTCCTGAGTTTAAGCCCCAGGACCAGCACCCCTCCTCCCCACACTCCCCCGCAAAAAAAGAAAAGTGGCTAGAATGAACCTTTGTTGCTTTTTTTGAGAGAAAAAAAAAAAATAGAAGCCTTCGGGAGAAGGAATCTCCTGATCATCATCCATCAGTCAAAACTAATTTCATGGACTGGGAATGTGGTTTAGTGGTAGAGTGTTTGCCTAGCATGCATGGAGCCCTGGGTTCAATTCCTCAGTAGCACATAAACAGAAAAAGCCAAAGTGGTGCTGTGGCTCAAGTCATAGAGTGCTAGCCTTAAGCAAAAGAAGCTCAGGGACAGTGCCCAGTCCCTGAATTCAAGCCCCAGGACTAGAAAATAAAACAACTAACTTCAACAACTGATTGAATTGTCATTATTTAAACAACAGGATGTTTTGCCTTGAAAATATAGACTTACCAGCACAACTATGCTTATTGCAGCACTATTTACTATAGCTAAGATATGAAACCAACCCAGATGCCCCTCAGTAGATGAATGGATCAAGAAAATGTGGTATATATACACAATGGAATTCTATGCCTCCATCAGAAAGAATGACATTGCCCCATTTCTTAGGAAATGGAAAGACTTGGAAAAAATTATATTAAGTGAAGTAAGCCAGGCCCAAAGAAACATAGGTCCCATGGTTTCCCTTATTTGCAATAACTAGTATATGTCTGAGTCAAGCAGAAAATGTCAGATAAGGTGATGTTACGGAAAGAACCCTAAGATACGTATTCAAATTTTTTTTCTTTCATGTGATTGTTTCTAACACATTTATAAGATTATTTCCTTGTTGCTTTGTATGTCCCTCCCCCACAGTATAACCCCTGCTTTCACTGTATTTCATGTCGATATAATTTGTGGAGGGGAAGGGGAAAAACAAATCGTTTAAATAGGGATACAGGTGAACTCATTGCAACAATGAGATGTACAAGTCTTTATGCCGAAAACGAACTTTACAACTTTGGTGCGGAGGGAGGGGGGCGGAGGGAGGATTGGGTGGGGGGGCAGGGGGAGGATGGGAAGGGATGGGAAGGGGAAACAAAGGAGGAGGCTACAATGCTTGATAAGAAATGTACTCATTATCTTGCCCATGTAATTGTAACACCTCTGTACAGTATTTTCACAATTAAAACAATAATAAATTAAAAAAAAAGAAAATATAGACTTAAAAGGGCAGGTGCTGGTGCTTCACCCTATAATTGTAGCTACTCTCCTGGCTAAGATCTCAGGATTGAAGCCAGTTGGGACAGGAAAGTTGGTGAAAGACTCATATTTTCAATTAGCCAGAAACACACACACACACACACACACACACCCCAGAAGTAGAGTTGTGGCTAAAGAGGTAAAGAGCCAGCCTTGAGCTGGCTAAGGGATATAAGGGATAGCACCTAGGCCTGAGTTCAAGATCCAGTATCAGAACATATATATATATATATATATATATATATATATATATATATAATGATTTTGCTTTAAAAGTGAATGAGCTACCACATGAGTTGAGAAACTAGACTTGAAAGTAGTAAGTTTAACAGGAATTGAGTTTTACAGGTAAGATAAACAGAGTTTAACAGGTTCAGTGTGCTATGAAATGGAGTAATTTTCCATACCATTTGTTAGGAATCTGAGTCAGTCATGAGCGTTAGGAAAGATCAAATGGACGAAAGGAGAGAAAGAGGTAGAGACCTTATCAGATCAGAGCAAACTGTAATCATTACTGCAGTAGAACTCCATGTGACACCCAGCAGGGTTGGAGAAACAAGGAGGGGGGGAGTGTAATGTTTTTACATTTAAGGGAGAAAGTTTCTTTTGGATGTCTTTGTGTTTGTAGCAGATTGTATCCTGTCTTTGCAGCTGTGGCACATGGTGCACTTTCCAACAAGGTCAGGGGTGAAGTTTTGCTGCAAATAACTCAAGGACAAGGATAAGATTCTAGGGAGGAGATTTTTAAGTGGGGGTCTCCTGGGGAAAGGGGCGTGAGGGTTGTCAGCAGGCCATGGGAACAACACTGAATTGATTGAATTGTGAGAACAAAGCAGATTCCCATCACAGTTTCATTTCCAAAGGAACTGTGAACTGTGTGAAACTGGGAGATGGACATTTTGGTATATGTGAGAAGAAGCAGTCTTTCCTATCCAACTAAAATGTCAACATGAATATATACTGATATTTCCTGGTATGGATATTTCTTTTTTTTTTTTTTGGCCAGTTATGGGGGCTGAACTCTGGGCCTGAGCGCTGTCCCTCAGCTCTTTAGCTCAAGGCTAGTGCCCTACCACTTGAGCCACAGTACTACTTCTGGCTTTTTTCTGCTTATGTGGTGCTGAGGAATCGAACCCAGGGCCTCATGCATGCAAGGCAAGCACTCTACCACTGAGTCAACTTCCTAGCCCCTGGTATGGATATTTCCTGGAATCATTTGCCTATCTTTACTTTGTAAACTATCATGGGTGTTGTGATCGATCAATCAGCCATGTCAATGGTCTGTGTCAAAGGAGTTAAAGAATAGAAACACACACATGTACCCTCACTGGCTTGAGTTGGAACTTTGAGTTGGATTATAACCATCAGCAACCCTGTTTCCAGCCAGCCGTGATGAGAAGGATGTGTGCTTCTGCCTCCCAAAGGACAGCTCCCTCACTGCCAGTAGGGATCTTTCACTGACTGTCAAAGTGCTTTCCAGCTTCCTTATATTACCCACATCATCTTGTTTTTTTAAATTGTGAGTCTGACTCCTTAGCAACAAGGAGAAGGGACATCAGCACCCCTGAGGTCATAGATAAACCCTGCCACAGGTGCCCAGCTAGCTCTGGGGAGAGTGGCACAACAGCCTTCAATGATCTCTATTTTTTTGTGAGTCTATTCGTTTCAGACACCAGAAAGCCCTTGTGTGTTTTCCATTGTGCAGTGGTCAATATTTTTTTTCTTTTTAGATGTTAAATTATAACTATCATATATGAAAAGCACACATAAAAACTGTAAGTGCTCAATAAAAATCAAACACACCATATCTAGATACCAAAATGTAAACAGAAATAGAATTAACTAGCAGGAAGCTCCTCTTAGGCCCTCATTTTCGTCACTACTGCCTTTTGTTTTTCTTTCCAACGTGGCAACACCTGACTTAGTACATTTCTTTTTTTTTTGGGGGGGGGGGAGGGACGGTCCGGTTGAGGGGCCTGAACTCTGGGCCTGGGCCCTGTCCCTCAGCTCTTCAGCTCAAGGCTAGCGCTCTACCACTTGAGCCACAGCGCCACTTCTGGCTTTTTTCTTTTTGCTTATGTGGTGCTGAGGAATCAAACCCAGGGCCTCATGCATGCAAGGCAAGTGCTCTACCACTGAGCCACCTTCCTAGCCCCAACACCTGACTTAGAGTAGTATAGTTTTCACCAGTCTTTGGATTTCATAGAAATATAATCATAATGTGCCAGGTGCTGGTGGTTCACACCTATAATCCTAGCTACCTGGTAAAGAAGCCAGCCAGGGCAGGAAAGTCCCCGAGGCTCCTATCTCTAATTAACCACCAGAAAGCTGGAAGTTGTGCTGTAGCTCAAACTGGTAGAGCTCTAGCCTTGAGCAGAAAAGCTCAGGGACAGCACCCAGGCCCTGAATTCAAGCCCCATAAGCAACAACAACAAAAAAGAAAAGAAATATAACATGTACTTTTTAATGTATCATATTTTGTGATTCTTCTATGCTATTGTGTGACACTACTATCTGTTCATTCCCATTTGATGACAGTATTTCAATAGACATAGTTCAATTTATCTATTATACTATTTATCACTTGAACTGTTTGTGGAGTTGTGCATTATTTTTAGTTTGGGTATATTTTATTTATATTTTTTGTACTAGTACTCAGGTCTTGCACTCTGAATTGACTTTTTTCACTCAAGGCTGAAGCTCTACCACTTAAGCCAGACCTCCACTTTCAGCTTTTTGGTGGTTAATTGGAAATAAGAATCTCATGGACAGCCATGCACTGGTGGCTCACACCTCTAATCCTAGCTACTCAGGAGGCCGAGATCTGAGGATTATGGTTCAAAGCCAGCCAGGACAGGAAAATCTGTAAGATGCTTATCTCCCAATGAACCACCAGAAAACCAGAAGTGGTGCTGTGACTCAAAGTGGTAGAGTGCTAGCCTTTTGTGAAAGAGCTCAGGGACAGTGCCCAATCCCTGAGTTCAAGCCCCAGGACTGAAGAAAAAGAAAAGGAATCCCATGGACTTTCCTGCCAGGCTGGCTTTGAACCTCAGTCTTCAGATCTTAACCTCCTAAGTAGCTAGGATGACAGCTGTGAGCCACAGATGCCTGACTGAGGTACTCCTTTCAAATGTAGGTAGTGGTGATTCAAATGTCAGTGACTGACAAAACAGTGCTGGGCAGGCAGGATTCCTGGGTGTTACCCAGTAGAGGGAACCAGCTTTGATGAATGGAAATCTCCTTCAAAGAAGGAAACTCGAGCCACTCACAAACCTCTCTCTCTCTCTCTCTCTCTCTCCCCCCCCCTCCTCACAGATACTCTATATCAAGATGTTCTGGCCTGACACCACCGTCTACCGACCCCCAAGACCCTATCTCGTTTCTAAAAATACCTCACCCGTCTGGGACTCTCTCCCTCAGGAGCTCACCAACCTGACCAGTCTTCTCTACTGGCCTCGAACCCCAGAAGATGGGAAGGATCTTTTGGCTTCCACCAGTCCCCAGACCTCCACTTACCACCTGAGGGGTCCTACACAGGCCACCTATGTCCTGGGGGACCACCTAGAGGCTATCCTTGTGGCCAGGGACCACAGGGGCAGGCCCAAGACCCACGGAGGGGATCTGTTTCAGGCACGGCTCCTAGGTCCAGAATTAAGAGCAGGGGTGCCAGGAGATGTGAAGGATCTAGAGAATGGCACCTACCTATTGTCCTTCCCCCTGCTCTGGGCTGGGAGGGCTCGGGTGCAAGTCCGACTGATCCATTCCAGCGAGGCGATCCATTCCAGCGAGGCAATTGGGGTTCTGCGGAGAGTCTGGAGAGAGAACCAGGCCACGGTTAATTTTAGAGGCTATTTCCGGGGGATGAAAGGACCTGAAGAGATTGCAATTTGTAATGTTGATCCCCATGCAACCGGAACTAAAGGGTCTACCTGCCAATACAGGGATGTGGTTTCTGGCGAGCTCTGGTTCTGTGCTGCGCCCCCTACCCTCCCCTGTAGCTCCTTAGTTGGTCATTCAAGTGGAAGTTATCTGAAGGTGACCACACACCAAGAGGATGCATTGCTGGCATGGTAAGACACCAAGAATCTGGGATAGGTCAACTCTATACCACATCCTGACCTCTCAATACCACCCTCATTCCCACCACCATTTATTTATTCCCTATTCTCATTCATCACATGTTAGTTGAGCACCTACTATGTGAAGACAGGGCTACATAGACATAGACCACTGGTCAGGCTATTTATTTAGAGGCTAAGCTAGGGCTTAAAGGATCTTGGGCTTAAAGGAAAAGAAGAGATGAAGTGTTCAGGACAGAGCAAATCATCTCAGGGCAAAAGTGGCTTGAGTGCTTCCTTTATTTCTTTAGATTTCTGTCTTCACTTAGATTTTTTTTTTTTTTTGTTTTTTTTTTTTTTGGGTCCAGTCGTGGGGCCTGAACTCTCGGCCTGGGCGCTGTCCCTCAGCTCTTCAGCTCAAGGCTAGCGCTCTACCACTTGAGCCACAACGCCACTTCTGGCTTTTTTCTTTCTGCTTATGTGGTGCTGAGGAATCGAACCCAGGGCCTCAGGCATGCAAGGCAAGCGCTCTACCACTGAGCCACCTTCCCAGCCCCTCACTTAGATTTTAATCTGACACTTCATTGTTATTTAGTTAGATCTTTAATTATTTGGCCAAGCATGGTAGCACATGCCTAAAATCTCTAGCTACTTAGGAGACAAAATCAGGACATTCACAGTTTGAAACCAACCCAAACTCTTCCCCCGCCCCTGCCAAAATAACACTCATCACTCACCCAACAAGTCACACATGGTGGTTTGTGTCTAAGCAGGAGGCCATAGATAAGAGCATCAAGCTGGGGGCTGGGGGCTTGTGCCTGTAATCCTAGCTACTCAGGAGACTGAGATCTGAGAATTGTGGTTCAAAACCAGCCCAGGCAGGAAAGTCTATGAGACCCTTATCTCCAATTAACCACCAGAAAACCAGAAGTGGCACTGTGGCTCAAGTGCTAGAGCATTTGCCTTGAGCTGAAGAGCTGAGGGATTGTGCCCAGGCCCAGAGTTCAAGCCCCACGACCAAAAAAAAAAAAAAAAAAAGAAGAACATCAAAGGTGGAGGCCACCCTTGAATAAAAATGCAAATCCTATCTAAAAACAATTCAGGCAAAAAAGAGCTGGAGACATGGCTCGAGTGGTAGAGCACCTATATAATGAGTGCAAACCCAGGGTTCAAACCCCAGTACTCTGCCCCATATTTTTTTCAATTATTCATGATGACATAACATTTTAAAATTGGGCAACTCTATTGTACATTTCGATAGATTTTTTTCATTTCCAGAATGCTATACATTTAGTATGTGACTATTTGGAAGTGACTGAGAAACATCCAAGTTCTTACATATATCAATAATTTATTCCTGAGCATGGTGACAAACACTTGTAATCCCAGCTACACAGAAGACAGAGGTAAGAGGATCATGGGTCAAGGCCAGGATGGATGAAAGTCTAGGACTCTATCTGCAAAATAAACTAAATCTGGCCAACAGTGACTCACACCTGTAATCTTGGCTACTCAGGAGTCTGATAGCCAGAGGATCATGGTTCATAGTCAGTCCAAGTAGAAAAATCCATGAGATTCCACCTCCAAAAATAATCAGCAAATATCCAGGCTGGACGAACTGACTCAAATGGTAGAGTACCTGCTGAGCAAGCATAAAGTCCTAAGTTCAAACTTCAGTGCCAAAAAAAAAAGAGTAAAGCAAAAAAACTGAGAGGGCTAGCTGTGCACCAGTGGCTCATGCCTATAGTGCTATTCAGTAGGCTGAGATCTGAGGATTGTGGCTGGAAACTACTCTGGGCAGAAAAGTCTATGACAGTCTTATCTCCAATTAACCACCAATAAGCCAGAAGTGTCGGTATGGCTCAAGTGACAGAGTGTCAGCCTTCATAGAAGAAGTCAAGCAAGAGGGTGAGGCCCTGAGTTCAAGTCACAGCACCGACACACACACACACACACACACACACACACACACACACACACACACACACACACACACATACCTGCGGGTCATGGTTCAAATGGTAGCGTAAGAACAGGTAGCATAAGGCACTGAGTTCAAATCCCAGTAATAGCAAAAAATTATTCCTCTTTCTCACTTAATTTCTTTTTTTTTTTACACCAGTACTAGGGCTTGAACTCAAGGCCTCATGCTCTTGCTTAACTTTTCTCCTCAAGACTGGTGCTCTACCACTTGAGCCATATCACCATATCCAGCTCTTTGTTGGTTAACTGGAGATAATTGTCTCATGGACTATTCTGCCCAGGCTGATTCGAATTGCAATCCTCATAGCTCAGCTTTCTGAGTAGCTGAGATTATAGTATGATTTTTCTCTAGTACTACACAACAGTTGTTTAATCATTCACTCATAGAAGGACATTTGATGTGTGTCCAGCTTTTTATTATTATGGGCAAAGGCTGAATCTTTATTTATAGGATTTTATATGCACATAACCTTTTATTTCTCAGTAATAAATGCTTGAATATAATTTCTCAGTTTTGTGATTGGTGGATGTTTAGTTTTATAGTAAACAGCCATTTTGGGGAGGAGGGGGAACAGGTGGCCATATTGTATTTTTTTGTTGGTTTGTTTTTGTCAGTCGTGGGGCCTGAACTCTGGGCCTGGGTGCTGTCCCTCAGCTCTTCAGCTCAAGGCTAGCATTCTACCACTTGAGCCATAGTACCACTACCAACTTTTTCTGCTTATGCGGTGCTGAGGAATCGAACCCAGGGCCTCATGCATGCAAGGCAAGCACTCTGAGCCACCTTCCCAGCCTGCCATATTGTATTATAGTCCCATTAGTCATGTAAAAGGTCCAGTTTCTGTCAATTCTGCCCAGCACTTCATGCAAATACTACTTTTACTTATGTATTTAGTGGTGTTTGGGGTCTAACCCAGAGCCTTTGCACAGGTGAGGCAAGTACTCTTCTTCTAAAGCATACCCTCTCCACAAAGTATCTGAGAAATTACATAAGTAATTGAAGACTTCATAAAGTGATCTTGAGCTGTCAGATTAAAGCATACGTGAAGACAGGAATCTGGGTAAAAATAAAAGTGTTCTAGTCACCTTGTCCTGTGATCACTTTTTTTTTCCTTCAAACTTAATTTTAATTTGTTTTGCTTTTAGCTATTTGAACTATTTCTTTTCCCTTTTCTTCCTTCCTTCCTTCCTTCCTTTCTTTTTTTCGTTGGTTGTGGGGCTTGAATTCAGGGTCTGGGTGCTGTCCTTGAGCTTTTTCACTTAAGTCTAGCACTCTACCACTTTGAGCCACAGCTCCACTTCCCATTTTCTGGTGGTTAGTTGGAGATGAGAGTCTGACAGAGGGCTGGGAAGGTGGCTCAGTGGTAGAGTGCTTGCCTTGCATGCATGAGGCCCTGGGTTTGATGCCTCAGCACCACATAAACAGAAAAAAAAAAAAGTCTCACAGACATACAGACTTTCCTGCCCAAGCTGGCTTTGAACCACAATCCTCAGATCTCAGCCTCTTAAGTAGCTAGGATTAGAGGTGTGAGCCACCAGTGCCTGGCCTATTTGATCTCCCCCCACCTCTTTCTTTTTTTGGGGGGGTGTCCGGTCATGGGCCTGAACTCTGGGCCTGGGCGCTGTCCCTCAGCTCTTCAGCTCAAGGCTAGCGCTCTACCACTTGAGCCACAGCGCCACTTCCAGCTTTTTTCTTTTTCTTATGTGGTCCTGAGGAATCGAACCCAGGGCCCCATGCATGCAAGGCAAGCGCTCTGCCACTGAGCCACCTTCCCAGCCCCTCTCTTTCTTGTATGTATCTGTATATTGGGGATTTTTTGCTCAAAGCAGCATGCTACTTGAGCTACACCGCCACTTGTGCCTTTTCTGGGGATTTTTTGCTCAAAGCAGCATGCTACTTGAGCTACACCGCCACTTGTGCCTTTTCTTTTCTTTTTGTTCCTATCCTGGGGCTTGAACTAAGGACCTGAGCACATTGAACATTGAACATTTTTGCTCAAGGCTAGCACTCTACCACTTGAGCCACATCTCTACTTCTGACTTTTTTGCTGGTTAATTGAAGATAAGAGTCTCATAGACTTTCCTGCCTGAGCTAGCTTTGAACTATGATCTTCAGATCTCAGCCTCCTAAGTAGCTAGGTTTCCAGGCATGAGACACTAGCACCTGGCTAGCAATTCAACCCCCTTTGGTACAGTTATTATATACTAAAAATAAGGACAAGAGAGTACACAGGCTCTGTTGTTAGGGAGGTACAAGAGGAAAAGGACGAGGGCCAAGTGAGAGAGCTAATCAGAGTGATCATGGTCAAAGTACTTATATGCATGTATGAAAACAGCAATGAAAGCTGCTGAAATTAATTTAAAGAGAGAGAATAACAGAGGTGGTGGATGGATGGAGTACACTGTATGAGTATATGGAGATGTCACAGTAAACCCCCTGTTACAACTAATGCATACTAAGTGTCAGGTGCCAGTGGCTCACACCTCTCATCTTACTCAGGAGGCTGAGATCTGAGGATCACAGTTTGAAGCCAGCTAGGGCAGGAAAGTCTGTGAGATGTTTATCTCCAATTAACTACCAAAAAGCCAGAAGTGGAGCTGTGACTCAAAGTGGTAGAGCGCTAGCCTTGAGCAGAAACGCTTAGGGACAGTGCCCAAGCTCAGGAGGAAAGGGAAAGGGAAGTAAAGGGCAGGAAGGTACTGATGGCTCACATTTATAATTCTAGCTACCTGGGAGGCTGAGACCTAGGGGATCTCTGTTAGAGGATAACCAGGACAGAGAAGTTCCCCAGACTCTATCTCCAAAATAATCAGCAAAATGCTGGACTGGAGGCATGGTTCAAGTAGTAGAACACCAACCTAGCAAGTCCAAGGCCCTGAGTTCAAATCTTAGTACCACCAAAACATACAACAGACATAGAAATGATTTTACCTGAGGCCGGGAAGGTGGCTCAGTGGTAGAGTGCTTGCCTCCCATGCATGAAGCCCTGGGTTTGATTCCTCAGTATCACATAAACAGAAAAGGCTGGATGTGGCACCACTGTGGCTTAAGTGGTAGAGCGCTAGCCTTGAGCTGAAGAGCTGAGGGACAGCACCTAGGCCTACAGTTCTAGCTCCACAACTGACCAAAAAAGAAAGAAAGAAAGAAAGAAGAAAGAAAAGAAAGAAGAAAGAAAGAAATGATTTTACCTAATGGCCTTCCCTCCCCCTTCCCCAGGAATGTTACAGACAAGCTGCTTCCTGAAGGCATCTCTCCCTTCCTGATCAGACCCCCGAAAACTGGGAACATCAGCGTGGGTGAGGGGGACTGGGAGATGCTGGGGAAGGGGGGTGGTTGGGCAGTATAAATGACTTAGATTGATTTTATTTCTTTTTTTGTCGGTCATGGGGCTTGAACTCTGGGCCTGGGCACTGTCCCTTAGCTCTTCAGCTCAAGGCGAGCGCTCTACCACTTGAGCTACAGCGCCACTCTTGGTTTTCTGGTGGTTTATTGGAGATAGGAGTCTCATGGTCTCTCCTGCCCGGGCTGGCTTTGAACCACGATCCTCAGATCTCAGCCTCCTGAATAGCTAGGATTACAGGTGTGAGCCACCAGCGCCTGGCTTGATTTATTTCTTTAAACGCCATTTTGAATTCATCCTCTCCCTGCCAGAACAGTGTTGTATAATGGTTATAAAACCAGACTATAATGGTTATAAAACTTCTTTTTCTTCTTCTTCTTCTTCTTCTTCTTCTTCTTTTCTTCTTCTTCGTCTTCGTCTTCTTCTTCTTCTTCTTCTTCTTCTTCTTCTTCTTCTTCTTCTTCTTCTTCTTCTTCTTCTTCTTCTTCTTCTTCTTCTTCTTCTTCTTCGTCTTCTTCTTCTTCGTCTTCGTCTTCTTCTTTTCTTCTTCTCCTTCTCCTTCTTCTCCTTCTTCTCTTCCTCCTCCTCCTCCTCCTTCTCCTTCTCCTTCTCCTTCTTCTTCTTCATGGGTCTTGAACTCTGAGCCTGGGCGCTATCCTTCAGCTCTTTAACTTAAGGTGAGCACTCTACCATGTGAGCCACAATTCCACTTCCGGTTCTGGTGGTTAATTGGAGATAAGAGTCTCATGTACTTTCCTGACCAGGCTGGTTTTGAACCATGATCCTCAGATCACAGCCTCCTGAGTAGCTAGGATTACAGGCGTGAGCCACCAGCACCAGCTACTCTTCTCAAGTGGTAGATGGCTCTCCTTGATTGAAAAAGCCAGGCAAGAATGTGAGTCCTTGAGTTCAAGTCCTAGGGACTAAAAGTTTTTTGTTTTTTATAAAAACATATAAAAGCATATGGGAGGGCTGGGAAGGTGGCTCAGTGGTAGAGCGCTTGCCTTGCATGCTTGAGGCCCTGGGTTCAATTCCTCAGCACCACATAAGCAAAAAGAAAAAAGCCGGAAGTGTGGCTGTGGCTCAAGTGGTAGAGTGCTAGCCTTGAGCTGAAGAGCTGAGGGACAGCGCCCAGGCCCAGAGTTCAGGCCCCACAACCGGACCCAAAAAAAAAAGCATATGGGAGAGTATCTAACCTATTATTGCAAGATATGAATATTAGCTCCTTTTTTAAAAATTACTTTGGGGGGGATTGGGTGGAAGGGCGGGGGGAGGATGGGAAGGGATGGGAAGGGGAAACAAAGGAGAAGGCTTCAATGCTTGATAAGAAATGTACTCATTACCTTGCCCATGTAATTGTAACAGTATTTTCACAATAAAAAAAAAGGGGGGAGGGCTGGGAAGGTGGCTCAGTGGTAGAGTGCTTGCCTTCCATGCATGAGGTCCTGGGTTCGATTCCTCAGCACCACATAAGCAGAAAAAAAACCCCAGAAGTGGCGCTGTGGCTCAAGTGGTAGAGTGCTAGCTTTGAGCTGAAGAGCTGAGGGACAGCGCCCAGGCCCAGAGTTCAGGCCCATGACCGGACCACCCCCCCCCAAAAAAAAAAAAGGGAAAAAAATTACTTTGTTCTGCTTTTCTTCTTCCAATAATAGCTCTGTCCCCTGAGCAGCCATGCCACCCCGGCCTCAGGTCTCCAAAGCCCTCTGGCTTCTATTACCAGAACAAATGGCACTCGCTGGCCTGTTCTGCCCGCTCCTTCTCTAGTGAGAACAGCATCCTGGGCTGCCTGGCCGGCCACGTGGTCCACATGATGGGAGACTCTACGCTGCGGCAGTGGTGGGAGTATCTGAGGGACACTGTGCCCTGTGAGTGGTGGCGAGGGGAAGGCTGGACATTGGGGGGGGGGAGGGACTGGGGGAGGGAGGCGGAGGAGGGGGAAAGAGTAGCTTAGTGATGGGCAGAGGCCCCTTTGTGAATGAAGAAGTCGAGGTTGAGCTATCTTTCTAGTTTAGTTAACTAGAAGTTGTATAATGAGCTCAAATGACACCATAAAGTTTTTAAATATCGCAAGGTGGGAGGCTATCAAGAGACATCATTTCCTCTTCTAACTAAAGCTGAAATGTGAGGGGTAAAAAGTACAAGCTTCTGTCCCTTCCACCTCAGTGTGTGTGTATGTGTGTATGCTGGGGCTGGGGCTTGAACTCAGGGCCTGGGCACTGTCCCTGAGCTTCTTTTGCTCATGGCTAGCATTCTACCACTTGAGCCACAGCACCACTTCCAACTTTTTAGATGATTAGAGATGAGTTTCATGGGCTTCCCTGCCTGAGCTGGTTTTGATCTCAACTTCCTAAGTAGCTAGGATTACAGGTGTGAACCACCAGCGCCTGGCTATTTGTGTGTGTGTGTGTGTGTGTGTGTGTGTGTGTGTGTGTGTGTGTGTGTGTGTGTGTGTGTGTGTGTGTATGCCAGTACTAGAACCCAAGACCTGAAGCTCTTGCTCCCTCAGAGCTGGTGTTCTACCACTTGAGTCACACCTCCATCACAGCTCTTGGCTGATTACTTTTGGAGATGGGATTTAAAGCTGTCCTTGAAGGAGCATCTAGGATTACTGATGTGAAAATGCTTATATACACAATTAAAATAAAATGATCACAGCTGGATGCTGGTGATTCATGTCTAATTCTAGCAAGCTACCCAGGGAGGCTAAGATCTGAAGAATTATGGTTCAAAGCCATCTTGGGAATAAGTCTGTGAGGCTCCATTTTCAAAAAATAACTACTAGCAGAAAGCCAGGTATGGCTTATGATAGAGCTGAGTGAACATAAGGCCCTAAGTTTAAGCCACAGTACCTCCCCCAGAAAAGATGATTATACCCAATAGTAATTTAATAATTCATTAAATCTAATATCTAATCTGTCACCAAATTTCCCAGACCAAGGCCAGGCACCAGTAGCTCATATCTGTAATCCTAGCTACTCAGGAGGCTAAGATCTGAGGATCTGCCAGCCTGGGCAGGAAAGTCTGTGAAACTCTTATCTCCAGTGAACTACCAGAAAACCAGAAGTGGAGCTGTTGCTCAAAGTGATAGAGTGCTAGCTTTAGCAAAAGAGCACAGGGACAGTGCCCAAGCCCTGAGTTCAAGCCCCATGACCAACTAAAAGAAAAGAAAAATTAGCTGGGTGCTGGTGGCTCATGCCTGTAATCCTAGCTACTCAGGAGGCTGAGATCTGAGGATTGTGGTTCAAAGCCAGCCCGGGCAAGAAAGTCCATGAGACTCTTATCTGCAATAAACCACCAGAAAACTGGAAGTGGTGCTGTGGCTCAAGTGGTAGAGCACTTGCCTTGAGCTGAAGAGCTGAGGGACAGTGCCTAGGCCCAGAGTTCAAGACCCACAACTGACAAAAAAAGAAAGAAAGAAAGAAAAAGAAAAGAAAAACTCACAGATTGTCCCTCAAAGGCCAATATCATTTCCAAGACTTACTTTTTTTTTTTTTACTTCTGCTCATATTTAAGGTAGGTCCTTTTTGCCCAGACTAGTTTGGATTGCAATCTTCCTGTTTATGTTTCCCACCTTAGTTGGAGTGTTGAGATAGAGTCTCACAAACTTTTTTTTTTTTCAGACAGAAAAAGAGTATATTGGGAGGAGGGAGTGAGAGCCAACTGTGGGGCCTGCAAGAGATGGAGACATGGGGAGGCAGAGGGGAAGGAAGAAGAGAGAAGGAATCCAAATTTTTTTTAATTGAAATAAACTCAGACTATGTTCCTCACAATCCCAGCCTCCTGAGTAGTTAGAATGACAGTGTGAACCTTGGTCACTCAGTTTAACACTCAACTGTTTTCCCCATTGATCCTGAATTCAGGGCCAGGAGGCAGTCTCTGAGCACTTTCTGCTCAAGGCTAGTCCTCTACCACTTTCAGCCACAGCTCCACTTAAGTTTTTTGAGTGGTTAACTGGAGACTAGAATCTAATTGGGACTTTTCTGCCTGGGCTGGCTTCAACTCATGATCCCTCAGCTCTTAGCTTCCTGAGTAGCTAGGATTAGAGGCGTAAGCCACCAGCACCTGGCAACATTCAACTTTTTTTGTGTGCACGTGTACTATACCTATGTACCAGTACCATTGTTGCCTGATTTGGGGTGTCTTTTTATTTCATTTTCTTGCCTAATTTCTCTGGCTAGGACTTTGAAAAATCCTAGCACTCGAGTTCAAGGAATTTTTCTCGAGAGAATCACAGCCCAACCCAGGCCTACCATGACATTAACCAATGCAAAAGAAGGGGTGGAGGCCTTGCTCAAGTGGTAAAGTATCTTGCCTAGCAATCTTTGTGTGTGTGTGTGTGTTTGTGTATCATGGTGCTTGAACTCAGGGCCTGTGCACTAGCCCTGAGCTTTTTTGCTCAAGGCTAGCGTTCTACCACTTTGGAAGTCACAGCTCCACTTCTGGTTTTCTGGGGGTTAGCTGGAGGTAAGAGTCTCACAGACTTTCCTGCCCAGGCTGGCTTTGAACCATGATCCTCAGATCTCAGCCCCCTGAGTAGCTAGGATTACAGGCATGAGCCACCAGTGCCCAGCTCTGCCTAGCAATACGAGGCACTGAGCTTCTCCAGTACCACAGGGGAAAACAAAAAAAAAAGAAACAAAAAGGACAGTGCCCCCTCTGATAATAACCCTTGCTCCTTCTCTTTCTTTATCCCCACAGCCCTGAAGCCAATAGATCTACATTCCACGTATCAGGTGGGACCCCTGATGGCTGTGGAGACCACTCGGGGCATTGTGCTGCACTGGCGAGCCCACGGCTGGCCCCTGCGCTCTTCCCGCACACCCATAGCTGCCCTGCACTCTGTGGCCAGGGAACTGGATGGCCTGGCTGGGGGTCCTCACACTGTGGTGGTGTTTGGTCTGGGAGCCCATTTTACCACCTTCCCTCCATCCATCTTTGTGCGACGTCTGGCAGGGATTAGAGCAGCTGTGATGGCCCTGCTGGCCCGAGAACCCAGCACGCTTGTGGTCATTAAATTGGCCAACACTGGCTATAAGTCTGTGTACGGCAGTGACTGGTTCACCTTGCATGTGAACCGGATGCTCCGAGCTGCCTTTGCTGACCTCCGTGTGGCTTTTTTGGATGCCTGGGAAATGACTTCCAGCCTGGCTGTACCTGACAACATCCACCCAGGGAAGCTCATTGTCCAAAATGAGGTGGCTGTACTTCTGTCCTTCATCTGTCCCTCTTGAGCGCTCCTGAGAAGACTGGCTCTGTGCTGACAGAGAGCCTGGGGCCTGGCCACTGGAATGGCAAAGAGCTACCATGAGACATTGAACAAACAATTCAGGGAAAAGTAATTTCCCCAAGACGGACTGCTTCTGCCTGGATGGGATTAACCACTGCACACATTTTGGATTTTAGTGAAACTCTCTCTCCCTCCCTCTCTCTCTCTCTCTCTCTCTCTCTCTATGTATATATACAAACAAAATTATATATACATAATGATACATAAATAACATTTTTATATTCTTGCTGTTATTGTTCTTGTATCAGAGCTTGACCTCATGGCCACAAGCTCTTGCTTAGCTTTTTTTTTTTGCTCAATGCAGATGCTGTACCTCTTGAGTCATGCCCCTGGTTCAGATTTTTGCTGGCTGATTGAGAGATGGAGTATTCTGAGATTCTTACACTGGCTGTCTTCAAACTTGGATCCTCAAGGATCCAAATTTTTTTTTTGTTGTTCAGTCTTAGGGCTTGAACTCTGGGCCTGGGCGCTGTCCCTCAGCTCTTCAGCTCAAGGCTAGCACTCCACCGCTTGAGCCACAGCACCACTTCTGGTTTTCCCATGGTTAATTGTAGAGTCAGAGTCTCATGGACTTTTCTTCCTGGGCTGGATCTGAACCTCGATCTTCAGATCTCAGCCTCCTGAGTAGCTAGGATTACAGGTGTGAGCCACTAGTGCCAAGCAGGAATCCAAACTTTTGAGTAGCTAGGATTACAGACATGAGCCACCAGTGCCCAGCAGTGCTGGGCAGTGTGTGTGTGCTCGTGTGTGCGCACGCACACACGTGCCAGCCCTGGGATTCAAACTCAGGTCCTGGGTACTGTTCTGGAGCTTTTTCTTTTTTTAATTTTAATTTTTTGGTTGGTTGCAGGGCTTGAACTCTGTGCCTGGGCACTGTCCCTCAGCTCTTCAGCTCAAGGCTAGCACTCTACCACTTGAGCCACAGCACCACTTCCCATTTTCGGAGTGGTTTATTGGAGATAAGAGTCTCACAGACTTTCCTGCCCGGGCTGGCTTTGAACCGCAATCCTCAGATCTAAGCCTCCTGAGTTGCTAGGATGATAGGCGTGAGCTACCAGCACCCAGCTCTGTTCTAAAGCTTTTGCACTCAGGCTAGTACTCCATCATTTGAGCTACAGCCCTACTTCTGGCTTTTTGGTGGTTAATTCCTGCCTAAAATGGCTCAAACTGCAATCCTAAAATCTCAGCCTTGGGGCTGGGAAGGTGGCTCAGTGGTAGAGCACTTGCCTTGCATGCATGAGGTCCTGGTTCAGTTCCTCAGCACCACATAAGCAGGAAAAAAAAGCTGGAAGTGGCACTGTGGCTCAAGTGGTAGAGCGCTAGCCTTGAGCTGAAGAGCTGAGGGACAGCGCCCAGACCCAGAGTTCAGGCCCCACGACTGGACCCCAAAAAAAATAATAATTAAACTCAGGGCTGGTCACTGTCTCTTAGCTTTTTCATTCAATGCTAGTGTGCTACCACTTAAGCCACAGCTCCATTTCCTGCTTTTTGATGTTAGTTGGAGATACAAGTCTCAGGGGTCTTTCTGCCCAGGCTAGCTTTGAACTGCAATCCTCACATCTCAATCTCCTGAGTAGCTGGGATTATAGGCATGAGCCCCTGCTGCCTGGCTACTTAGGTTAGGTTTGATTATCTTAATTTTTATTTAGCCAGCCCTCCCCTTACGCTCTGACAGAGGCTGTCCAAGGTGCTGGAGCTGGGTTTAGAAGAAAAAAGCAAAAGTGCTGTTGGGGACAACATGGGCCATTACACAGCTAACCACAGGCGTAGTGAATGTATAGCAGACCTGAACTCACAGTCCCAAGGCCCTGTGTTTCCTGAGGCCTCTGCAGCCCAGCAAGCTGTAAAGGAGCTATTTTGATCATCAGAAACTCTTCCTTCCTTCCCTCCTCTTTCTTCTTCCTCTCTCTCTCTCTTCTTGCCAGTCCTGGGGCTTGAACTCAGGGCCTGGGCACTGTCCCTGAGCTTCAAGGCTAGCACTCTACCACTTGAGCCACAGTGCAACTTCTGGCTTTTTCTGTTTATGTGGTACTGAGGAAGTGAACCTAGGGCCTCAATGCATGCTATGCAAGCACTCTACCACTAAGCCACATTTCCAGCCCCAGCCTGTGTAGTCTTGAGTGCCCCAGGGCCTGGGTCCAGATGTGCCCTCCTTGGGATCATTCTGCATCAGCCTTCTAAAGTTCTGTGTGTGTGTGTGTGTACTGGGATCTGAGGATCCAATACCCAGCCCCTCATGTGTGTGTGTGTGTGTGTGTGTGTGTGTGTGTGTGTGTGTGTGTGTGTGTGTGTACTGGGATCTGAGGATCCAATACCCAGTACCCAGCCCCTCGTGTGTGTGTGTGTGTGTGTGTGTGTGTGTGTGTGTGTGTGTGTACTGGGATCTGAGGATCCAATACCCAGCCCCTCATACTTTCACTTGGCTTTTTTGGTGGTGGTGGTGGTTGTGGGGCTTGAACTTGGGGCCTAGACACTGTTTCTGAGCCTCTTTGTGCTCAAAGCTAACATTCGACCACTTTGAGGCACAACACTACTTCTGGTTTTTGAGTGGTTAATTGGAGATAAGAGTCTCACAGGGACTTTTCTGCCTGAGCCAGCTTTGAACTATGATCCTCAGATCTCAGCCTCCTGAGTAGCTAGAATTACAAGCATGAGCCACCAGTGCCTGGCTTACTTTTTTTTTTTTTTTCTCCAGACTGGTACTCTAACACTTGAGCCATACCTCTACTTGTGGCTTTCTTGTTGTTGCAAGACCGGGGCTTGAACGCAATACCAAACACTTTGCTCACTGGCTAGTGCTTTACCAACTGAGCCAAACTTCTAACCTCTACTTCTACTTCTGGCTTTTTTCTGGTTAATTGGACATCAGAGTTTCCTAAGCTTTCCTGTCTGGGCTGGCTTGGAACCCTGACCTTCAGATCTCAGATTCCTGATTAGCTAGGATTACAGGCGTGATCTATCAGCACCCGGCTTGGCATGGGGGTTTTGATGGTCTTACAGCAGGCTGTGCTTGTCTACCTTTCCAAAGCACAGGGATGTGTCCTCACCCTGTCAAATTCCCTGCAGGCCACAAGCTCCCCTGGCATGCAGTCTATCCAACAAATGCACAATGAGTACCTGTTACATATGTGGCTCTGCTTTGGCACTGAGAATCAAGCAATGAGCTGATTCTTCCATACAAGAAGGGACAGTCAACACAAACCACGACATCACGGAAGTTACATAGACATTTAGACAATGATGTGAGATAGAAAATGTAAGTCAGGCATAGCACTTAAGAAGCAGAGACAAGGGCTGGGAAGGTGGCTCAGTGGTAGAGTGCTTGCCTTGCATGCATGAGGCCCTGGGTTCAATTCCTCAGCACCACATAAGCAAAAAGAAAAAAGCCAGAAGTGGCGCTGTGGCTCAAGTGGTAGAGTGCTAGCCTTGAGCTGAAGAGCTGAGGGACAGCGCCCAGGCCCAGAGTTCAGGCCCCATGACTAGACTCCTCACCCCACCCCACCCCAAAAAAAAAGCAGAGACCAGAGGATCATGGATTCAAGGCCAACCCTGGGTTATGTAATCAGACTGTTTCACAAAAAAGCTAGGGGCATGGTTCAAGTGGTACAGCATCTGCCTAGCAAGTTCAAAACCCAGTATCATAAAAAAAAAAAGGAAAAAATATTTTTTAAAATGCAACAAACAAGCTGGGCACTGGTGGCTGTAATCCTAACTACTCAGGAGGCTGAGATCTGAGGATTTCGTTTCAAAGCCAGCCCAGGCAGGAAAGTCTGTGAGACTCTTTTCTCCAATAAACCACCAGAAAAACAGGAAGTGGCACTGTAGCTCAAGTGGTAGAGTGCTAGCCTTGAGCTGAAGAGCTGAGGGACAGTGCCCAGGCCCAGAGTTCAGGCCCCAAAACCAGCAAAAAAAAAAAAAAAAAAAAAAATGTTCACCTAAGCCGGGTGCCAGTGGCTCACGCCTGTAATCCTAGCTACTCAGGAGGCTGAGATCTGAGGATCGAGGTTCAAAGCCAGTCCAGGCAGGAAAGTCAATGAGACTCTTATCTCCAATAAACCACTCGAAAACCGGAAGTGGCACTGTGACTCAAGCGGTAGAGTGCTCACCTCGAGCTGAAGATCGCAGGGACAGCCCCAAGCCTAGAGTTCAAGCCCCAGGACCAGCACGCCCCCCCGCCAAAAAAAAAGAAAAGAAAAGAAGGCTCACCTATTAATGGAAATAGGAATTATAGGAAATAGAACTGATTTAAAAAAAGAAAGAAAGAAAGAAAGCTTACCTAGCCAGGTGCTGGTGGGCTCAACCTGTAAATCTGAGCTACTCAGATGGCTGATTTGAGGATCAAAGTTCAAAGCCAGCCCAGGCAGGAAAATTTGTAAGACTCTTACCTCTAATTGACCATCAAAATTCTGGAAGTGGAGGTGTGGCTCAAGTAGAAGAGCAACAGCTCTTGAATAAAAAAGGTAATCAGAGGTCCCAAGTTCAAGCCCCAACACTGGCACTGGCGCTGGTGTGGGCATGCGCTCAAGCTTACGTACTCACACGTGCATGCATGAGTACACACACATATACACACACAGGAAAGGAAGGAAAAGGAAAGGAAAGGAAGGGAAGAAAAGAAAGGAAGGGGAAAAAAAAAGAAAGGTTTTCCACAGGCAACCAGACAAAACCCTCTAGGAGGCTGGGACTGGGAATACTGTAGATCTTCAGATTGGAGCAGCAGGTCCTAGCAGTTAACTTTCTTACTAGTCCAGCCAACCCGGTTCCTGTCCTATACCAATGACTTCTTCACTCAGAACTAGAGCAGCAATTTGAAAACAAATGAGTGCTGGGTTCCTTGTGCTCGCTAAGCAGGCATTCTTATTGCTGGGCAGGACCTTTTTTTTTTTTTTTATGGTTATTCTTTTTTTTTTTGGTCGGTCGTGGGTCTTGAACTCTGGGCTTGGGTGCTATCCCTGTGCTCTTCAGCTCAAGGCAAGCGCTCTACCACTTGAGTTACAGCACCACGTCCGGTTTTCTAGTGGTTTATTGGAGATAAGAGTCTCTCCAACTTTCCTGCCCGTGCTGGCTTTGAACTGTGAGCCTCAGATCTCAGCGTCCTGAGTAGCTAGGATTACAGGTGTGAGCCACCGGTGCCTGACTTCAAATAGACTCTTGCTACTAGTCTAGGTGCATCTGGATCCGATCCTGTTAGGTGTCCACTATGGTAAAATAATAGGCCTGTGCCACTGCACCAACTCTTCCTTGAGAAGGTGGTGGTAGAGGGGGATCCTCATAAACTTTTTCTGCCCAGGCTACCTTCCATCCTCCTACTAAAGTTATAGGTGTGAGCCACCAGCCCCTATTTGTTTCTTTTTCTTTTTTTTTTTAACCAGTTCAGGGGTTGGGCACTGTCCCTGAGTTTCTTTTGCTCAAGGCTAGCACTTTACCAGTTGAACCACAGTGTCCCTTCTGGCTTTTTCTGTTTATGTGGTACTGAGGAATCAAACCCCGGGCTTCATGAATGCTAGGCAAGCATTCTACTGCTAAGCCATATCCCCAGCCCCCTATTTGTTTCTTAATGGTCAAGGGAGTCAAGCTGTCTGCCCTCCACAGTATTCTAATTGCTGTTCTCATACCTACAATGTCCTTCTTCCAGATCCTCACATAGCTAGCTTTCTTCTCTGATTAGACATCTCACTGAGGCTCTTCTGAATATGCACAATTAAACAGCCCCTTCTCTCACTTCTGCTATGGATTCTTTCTTCATCCTGCTCTTGAACTCATCCCTTCCTCCTCTCCACTGGTTAGGCTAAGTTAATTGGAGACAGTTTCAAGGACTTTTCTGCTCCAGGTGTCTCTCCACTGTGATCCTCCAGATCCCAGCCTGGCTTATCAATCATTAGCCTGTTTATTACTGTCATCATTATCCTATCACTAACTACCACCTGTAATTATCATTATTTTTTTTTTGGTCCGGTCATGGGGCCTGAACTCTGGGCCTGGGCGCTGTCCCTCAGCTCTTCAGCTCAAGGCTAGCGCTCTACCACTTGAGCCACAGCGCCACTTCCGACTTTTTTCTTTTTGCTTATGTGGTGCTAAGGAATCAAACCCAGGGCCTCAGGCATGCAAGACAAGCGCTCTACCACTGAGCCACCTTCCCAGCCCCACCACAAGTAATTATTTGATTGCTATTACTGGTGTTCATCTTATTCATCTCAACAGAAGAGAATTTCCATGTGGAACTGGAGTTGACCTGGCTCACTACTGAATCCCATGATCTGTAAGAGCTTAGGATGTCGCAGGTTAAATGCCCACTGAACAGCTCAACATCAGTGCGTGGCACTTGTAATCTGAGCTACTCAGAGGCTGAGATCTGAGGATCTAGATTTGAAGCTAGTCCAGGCAGGAAAGTCTGTAAGAGTCTTATTGCCAATTAACTGTCAAAAAAGGCAGAAGTGGGGCTGTGTGGTTCAAAGAGTAGAGTGTTAGCCCTGAGCAAAAAAAGCTAAGGGATAGCACTCAGGCCCTGAGTTCAAGCTCAATGACAAAAAAAAAAAAAAAAGCTAAGGAAACAGCACCCAGGTCCAGAGCTCAAGATCCAATACTGACATGGGAATAAAAACCCAGTGAACTAGAGGAAAGGAGCTAGACTGCTGCCATTACAAGAAGGCAGATATTTGCCCCCAAGTGACTTTCCCTGAGTGACATAGGGTTAAGAGTTTCAGTTCCGAAGATTATTTCTTGGTTGCTTTGTATGTCCCTCCCCCACAGTATAACCCCTGCTTTCACTGTAATTGATGTGGGTATAATTTGTGGAGAAGGGGAAAAACAAATCGTTTAAATAGGGATACAGGTGGACCCATTGCAACAATGAGATGTACAAGTCGTTATGTGGAAAACAAACTTTACGGGCTGGGAAGGTGGCTCAGTGGTAGAGTGCTTGCCTTGCATGCATGAGGTCCTGGGTTCGATTCCTCAGCACCACATAAACAGAAAAAGCCAGAAGTGGCGCTGTGGCTCAAGTGGTAGAGTGCTTGCCTTGAACTGAAGAGCTGAGAGACAGCGCCCAGGCCCAGAGTTCAGGTCCATGACCGGCAAAAAAAAAAAAAGAAAACAAACTTTACAACTTTGGTGGGGGGGGGGGGAGCGGGGAGGATTGGGTGGGTGGGGGGCATGGGGAGGATGGGAAGGGATGGGAAGGGGAAACAGAGGAGGCTACAATGCTTGATAAGAAATGTGCTCATTATCTTGCCCATCTAATTGTAACATTTTCACAATTAAAAAAAAAAAAAATGAGTTTCAGTTCCGAGGAAAAACCATATAATGTCCCAACCAACCAGTTCTTTAGAGCCCAGGGCGAAACTTGCCCTGCATACTGTTGGCCCAGGTGTGACACATAACCGTTTGTGGTCAAGCTATGGAACAAGGATAAAGCTTGCTTTAAATGTTAATCAATCATGTAATTTCTTATGTAAAAGTTCCTTAAAGTTGTTGATTCAATACTATAAAAAACTATGCTGATTCTATGCTCGGGGCCTCTTAGCCTCACCGGTAGCCGAATGCACAGAGGACCAAGCTCAAGTTTGCAATAAACGACTCTTTGCCGTTTGCATTGATCGTGGTTTCTGGTGGTCTGTGAGGGAGCATCCGAAACTGGGTACTTCAACAGGTGGATGAATTAAAGTCAGCTGAGCTCTAAGTCCAGCATATCTACTCAGCAACCAACACCTTAAGGAAAACAACAATTAGCCAAAGTGTTCCCTGGTCGCTACTTCTAAATCCTGTATGTGTCTGATAATCGCCATTCCTGTCTCATAGTTACCATCAGAACAGCACAATTTCCAGTGCAGTGTGTTTTCTTATTATTTATTTCGGAGAATCCCGGTAAGAGCGTCATTTCCTTTTCCTCAGGTCCACAGAGGAACCCGGTGGAGCTGAGCCAGTCCTGGGCCCCGGGTTGGGTTGTAGATAGGGAGGGTGATACTAGTGGAGAAAATGTCTGCAGGAAGACCAGAAGTACCAGCCTCGCTTGCTCTGGCCATGTCCTGGCCAGGTCGTCGGGGCTCACTGCTGCGGGGTCAGGTCCTCAGCTCTGGCCGGCTGTCCCCGCAACTCTCGGCCTCCGCGGCCCGCGAGGCTTCCCGGACGACCCTAAAGGGCGCTCCGTGGCCGGGCACCACCACGTCCGCGGCGCCCAGGACCCTCTTTCGGCTCTGCTCCTGGGCCACGGGGTCCTCGCTCAGCGCCTGCCACGTGTCCTCGTCTCCGTCGCGCTCAAACACGTCTCCCGCCAGCACCACGGTGCCCAGCTCGGTGCCCGCCACCGCCACGCTCACGTCGCGCCGGCCCGCGTGGCCCGGAGTGGCCCACACCTCGAGGCCGGGCCCCAGGCGCAGGGGCCGCTCCTCGCGCAGGTCGTGGGGCAGATAGCGGCCCCCGGGGAGGCAGAAGTCGTGCGAGACCAACAGAGCCGCCTCCGGAAACAGCCCCAGGTTCCCGACGTGATCCGAGTGGCCGTGCGTCCCCACCACCAGAGCCACGTCCCCCGGGGCCACGCCCTGGCCCGCCAGGGCCCCCAGCAGCGCCTCCCGAGCCCAGGGGCCCCCGGTGTCCACCAGGATGGGGCCCCGCGCCGCCGCCTGCAGAGCGGCCTCCGCGCCGCCGTCCGCCGACAGCGCCGCCCGGTGGCCGGGGGCCGGGGGCCAGGACCGAGGCAGCACTAGCGTCACCGAGCCGTCGGCGCGCACCACGGCGCCCGCCCCTTCGGGCTCGGCGTAGCCCCGCAGCAGAACCACCACCGAGTAGGAGTCGCCGGGCACCAGCCAAGGGGGCTCGGCCCCACGCAGCGGCTCCGTCCTCACCACGATGCTCATGGCTGGGGAGAGAGAAACGGGGGCCGTGGGCGACCGCCCGGTCCGTCCAGTCCCCGCCGCTCACCCAAGTGGTACTTTTTCCAGTCTCAGCTCTGTGCCATCCCCCTCTCTGCCGGCGGAGATGGTATCGCCTGCCCCGCCCCTCCGCGCGGCCCCGCCCCTCTGCGTGGCCCCGCCCCTCCGCCCGCGGGTCAGAAGCTCGTCTCGCCGGTCTCGTGCAGGTGGCGGGTCGCCCCTCTCCCGCCACCCTCCAAAGAATGTTCTTTTTCTTTCTTCCAGCCCTGTCTGCCATTTACCTCGTACCTAGTATCGCCTCGGTGACTTGGCGCCAGGAGCGCGGCGAGATGGTAGGATGTTTGTCCTCCGCGAGCTCCCGTAAACCCAACATGGCGGCCAGCACGGCGCCACGTCCGTCACTCTACTTCCGGCGGCGCACCCCGGCCGCCAGCACCCCCGAGCGGACGTCCGCCCCGCGACCCCGGGCAGCCCCACCGGGCGGCGGGACCGCAGGACACCGCTGGCTAGCGGGTGGGTCCGAGCCAGCCGCCCCATCGCTCGGGTCTGCCTCACCTGCTCGCTCTGTGTGCACGGCCCAGCTGATTTTTTTTATTAAGTTTAATAGCGCGCTAGAAAACATGGCACTTTTGTGAATATGAAGTAGACAGGTATGTGTCCCACCCGACCTGGCAGCATCGCTTCACCCTGGGTCCAGTCTAGCTGGTTTATGAGGCCTTAGACGCAGGCATTGTGTATGTAGGTCATAGAGAATGTTCTGACTTCTTTCTTACCAGGGTCGAAAACCAGATCCCTTAAGGGGCCTTTCCGTCCCTTGCCACGGTGAGCTCTGGATAGGGGTGAAGAGCTGTCTTATGTACTGGGTACAGCTTCAAGACTTGTCACCTCACACGCCTGTCAATTCATGGGGCAGGATGGCAGGCGGAGGGCTAATCTATGAAGGCAAGCCGTGGACTACCTAGTGCTCCCACCTTCCCACAGTCCTGAACCCGCAAGACCCTGCCCGAGATCAGGTGGGACAGAATAATCACCAGCCTGAGGGTGTGGGGGCCTTCACACAACCACCCATAAAGCCATGGGACCCGGAGAGGTCAGACTTCTGAGTGTTCTCCATGACCCCTCTTCCAGGGGCAAAAAGGCAAGGGTCAGAGATCCTCTGGGTCATGCTTGGGATGGCCCGGTGTCTTGGTCATTTCTTCTTCCTCTTCCTCCTCCTCCTCCTCTTCCTCTTCTGCATTTTCTTGTCCATCTGTAGTCTTCTCTTTTCCAGTCCAAGTTTCCTGTAGACATGCTTGGTGGGATGAGAGCAGATAGTTGGAATCATGGCTTTGGGAACTAGGGGAAAGACTGTGGCCTGGCAGGAGAGAAGCCCAAACCCCACACTTACTGGTTTCAGCAGCTGGGAGCACATGGCCTTCACAGAGAAAATGCTGTAGGGGCTGTTCTTGATGGTGGAAGTACCAGTCTCCCACAACATCTTCAAATTCTTCCAGCATGGTTTCACACTGCTCAAGTGGAAGGGCACAAAGACCTTTTGTTCTGTTGGGCCTTGGAAACCCTCCTCTCCGCTCTTCATTCACTATATCCCAATGCTGACTGATGTCAGACACAGGTAGCCAGGAGGTTAAGCTTGGCTTACTAGATGTGTGATCATCACTCAGCAAACCTATACCAGCACCTGCTCTAAGTAGGTTATTAAGCTGCATCTGAACTCCCCACCTATAAAATGGGAAATGGTTGTCATACCCTACACCATGGGAGGCAGTTGTGAGGATAAAAATGGGACAGCAGCTGGGAAGCATGTGGTCCAGAATCTAAGAGATTATCAACCTCCAGTATTATTTCTTTTTGGTGCTGATACTGGGGCTTGAACTCAGGGGCTGGGCACTGTTCCTAAGTTTTTTAGCTCAAGGATTGTACTCTACCACGTAAGCACACTTCCACTTGTAGCTTTTTGCTGGTTAATGTAGATAAGAGTCCCACATTACTGTGTCCGCTGGCTTAGAACTGCTATCAGATCTCAGCCTCTTGAGTAAATTTACAGGCATGAGCCACTGGTGCCTGGCAGTATTCTTGATGTACTTGGATATACTCTTTTTTGTTACTGGTTGTGGGGTTTGAACTCAGGGCCTGAGCATTGTCCCTGAGCCAGTTTGTGCTCAAGGCTAATACTCTACACTTGAGCCACAATGCCGTTCTAGTTTTTGAATGGTTAACTGGAGATAAGAGTCTCATGGGGACTTTTCTTTCTGGGCTAGCTTCAAACCACAATCCTCAGATCTCAGCCTCCTGAGTAGCTAGGATTACAGGTGTGAACTGAGCCACTGGCACCCGCTACTTCAATCAGTGGCACAGCCCTCATCCCGCCCATTCTCCCTGCTCAGAGGTGGACATCCATATGGTCAAATCCCCTTCCAAGTTCCCTTTTCACCTCTCTAGGACAGTGTGGTATCATATCTTACCTGCTTCTTGAGGAATGTGACCTCCACGCTAGGCTCATCCCACAGCTCCAAAGGAATCCCCAGATCCACTTTCACTCCCTTTTGCACTAGGCCCTTCAGGGTTGCCATGGTCTGACTCTGACCCTGAGGGATGGAGAATTTGGTATCAGCCCAGACCATCACCCCACCTCTTCCTTCCCCTTCCATTTATCTCAGTTTTGTCAACTCCTGGAGACTCAGGGGTAAGATCCTTGAGGGTGAGATGAAGGAGTCCAATTGTAACAAAGGGATACACCACAACTTGGGGAAAACAGGCAGATATTCCCCTTAAGGATGTCAGGGGATATAAATCTTTGCTTCAGAGAATCAGAGTCGTTCCTTGGGGAAGGATCTGACCTTGGCATATCTCAGTGATCCCTTGCGTTCAGCATGAACACTATAATCCAGGATCCGCTCACATAAATTCTCCAAGGCCTCTTCTAGCCTTGTCTCTCTGTAAGAGGAAGAGAAATAAGACTCTGTTGCTTCAGGAACTTGCAAGACTCATGGAAGGTTTCATGGAGGGTTGGAAGGCAGATGAGCACAAAGAAGGACTCACGAAACACTATAAGGCACATGTTTCTTCCTCTTGCCTGTGTCTAGCACCTGCCCCAGCTCTAGCACCTCTCGAGAACGGCCTGTGCGACTCAGCTCCTCCTGCAGCTCCCTGCTCAGCAGCTTACACACTAATAGTGAGAAGAGATGTTGAAGGGGATGAGAAATACAAATGAACATATCACCAGTTCATCCTGCAGCAGATCATGCCAATTCACACTGAAGCCAGACTGACTGGGTTGGAATCCTGACTCAGCCTCTCAGTAGCTGTGTAATAATTGTGCTGTGTGTCAGTTTCTTACTTCTATAGTAATTTTTTCATAGTGGTGTGATGTGGACTTAACGTATGTAAAATCTCTAGAATAGTGTCTGGCACACAGTGGACACTAAAAAAAAAAGATGAAGAGAATCATAATATGAAGAAATGCAAAATTCAAAGGTCGTGTGTGTGTGTGTGTGTGTGTGTGTGTGTGTGTGTGTGAACTGGGGCTTGAACTTAGGGCCTGGGCACTGTCCCTTAGCTTTTTTGCTGAAAGCTAGCACTCTACCAGTGGAGCCATAGTTCCATTTCATCATTCAGCAGTCACTGCTAGGGGCAGTAAAATGAAGCCAATGCTGGGAGACAAGTCCCAGAAATTCTTACCTCCTATTGACCAGCAAAAAAGCCCGAAAGAGAGATGTGGTTCAAGTGGTATTGCACCAGCTTTGAGCAAAATAAGGAAGACTTTGAGCAAAATAAGTCAAGCAAGGCCTGAGGCCCTGAGTTCAAGCCCCACAGTAGGAGCACAAAAAATAAAATAAAAATGAAGTAGCACTTCCTACTAGGCTTTGGTTTCCATTACTGTCTATCCCACTGTCCAATACATACCATGTGACCTGGCATATAGTAACTCCCAAGAAAAGAAATGGCCCATCCAGAAGTAACAAAGAGGAGCTGGGAATGTGGCTTAATGGTAGAGTGCTTGCCTTGCATGCATGAAGCCCGGTTTGATTCCTCAGTACCACATACACAGAAAAGGCTGGAAGTGACATGGTTGCTCAAGTGGTAGAGTGCTAGCCTTGAGCACAGAGAGGCTCAGGGACAGTGCCTAGGCCCTGAGTTCAGGGCTGGCAAAACAAAACAAAAAACAGAAAGCCAGACATAAGTGGCTTATGCCTGTAATCCTAGCTACTCAGGAGGCTGTGATCTGAGGATCTCAGGTCAAAGCCAGCCTGGGCAGAAAAGTCTGTGAGACTCTTATCTTCATAAACCACCAGAAAACTGGAAGTGGTGCTGTGGCTCAAGCGGTAGAGCATTCGCCTTGAGCTGAAGAGCACAGGGACAGCGCCCAAGCCCAGAGTTCAAGCCCCACGACTGACAATAAATAAATAAAGTACCAGTGATTCATGCCCATATCCCAAGTTTCTCAGGAGACAGAGATCTGAGGATTGCAGTTCAAATTCAGATAGTTCAGGAAAAACCAAGAGTCTCTTTCATCTCCAATTAATCATCAAAATGCCAGAAGTGAAGGTGTAGATCAAGTAGTAGTTGAAAAAAAAAAAAAAACCAGGCAAGATCACAGGCCCTGAGTTCAAGCCCTCATACATACATTTAAAACAATGGTTTGGAACTGTACACACTGCTATTCAATGATCATTTTACTTTAAAAAAAAAAAAGGCACATAAGAAATTAAAGGAAGCAACAGAGGAAGCACGGGACATCTCTCCTTTGCTCTCCTGTTAACACAGCCAGGAAAGATGTTGCTTACTGCAAAATCCATTCAATACACACCCTGTCCAGAGCCTCACGCAGATGGAGAACTTGTAGTGTAGGGCCTCTCCGCCTCTGGCTTTAGGAGCTTGCAGTGCTGATCAGGTTAGTCACCCTCAGATCCCCTGAGGGGGGCAGGTAGCTTGTAATTTCCTAGCGTCTCCGCTAAGGCGGGGCGCAGGATGTCTACAAGATACGAGCCTCACCCCCTCCCGAGAGGCTCCCTAGATTTACGTCCGGTGGGTAACACTGGGGGATACCCACTGAAGATGATCGGTAAAGTGGTCCAGGGCCGGCGGAGTCTGAACTACATGCCCCACAATCCACTGGGACCCAAGCCTACAAGAAAAAGCGGGCTCCTCCGGGACGAGACGTGGGAAATGTAGAGCCCACACTTTGGGGGTTGGTGCTGCGCGCCTCCTCCCTGGGTCCCATTCCGATCCCGCCACGCTCCATCGGAACCTCCCTCAGGACTTCCGGGAGATGGGTGGACACCCTCCCTTCCCGCCCCCCCTCCCCACGCAGCCCATCACAGTCCAGTTCACCCGGCCTGGAGGAAAGAGCTTCATGTTAGATACCTTCGCATTTGCTAGGCAATCGTTCTGTGTCCTCGTCCTCCTCTTTTGGTGTCCCAGCCCCAGCACCGTACGCTGTCAAAATGAAAAGGAATATCCCCAACCGCACAGGTCCCATGGCAAGTCGCCGCGCACCAACAAACCACCTTTTGCTTCCCAACCAACTTCGGCAAGGAGCGGACCCTTTAAATCCAGAGGCGGTCTGCGCCGCCCTGGGAAAGGCCAGCGCGCGAGTCCTGCGCACGCGCAGAGCCAGCCCGAGGAGAGGGCGGAGCGTCGTGACTCCGGGCTTTCCCCGCCCGCCTCGGTTTTGTGGCGCCTCCACCAGGTCCTGGCTGCTAGGTAGTGAAGGCTACACGGAAGAAATTAAACAGGGGCGCTTTCTTCTTACGCGTAGCCGTAGAAAATAGTTGTTTGTTTAATGCTGAGCCGTGAGCGTGGGTGATTTATTCTGACTTGGGGCCGGGCAGGTGACTTGCTCTGGTTCTCTGCCAGGACCTGCGCTCGGGAGGGGGCGGGGCCAAGATGGCGCCCAGCGCCGGGTGAGCGGCGCTCTGGCAGCGGTGAGAGAATTTTTTACCGTCCGGGGTGTTTGGCTGGCGGGGGCGGATCTGAGGGAGGACCCGAGAGGGGACCCTCGGAAGGGTTCGTGTGAGGACTGGGGGGAGGACGGTGGGTTCCTGTGTCCGTGGTCGTGGGGACCCGGTGTGCGTCTGTAGTGGAAGGATGTTGGGGAAGATGATGGTTTGGTTCTGAGCCGTCGGGGCTCTTCCACCCGGTTCTCGGCCGGAGGAAAAATTGCACCGATGTGGCTGGTGGGAACTCTCCGCTGAGGAGCCGTGCTTCTCCTTCCCCTCCTCTGAGAAGCTCGTGAGGGGGTCGTGTTTTCTCAGCCCTCACTGCCAGAAGGTACCACAGGGCATTGAAGGATTGGTAGGAGTTCGCCAGAAAACTGGGGGACACTTGTTTCTTGTGTGCTCAGCACCAGACAAAAGAGTACGGGGCCCAATTAGCTGTGTTCCTGTAGGTAAGTCAGGAAGGGACACCCGGGATAGTTTGAAAACCTAATTTTCCTTCAGCCTTCCATCTTCCCATCTCCCCAGCCACCCAGTTGATCTTGCACTCCACTACACCAGGCCTTCCACTTTCCTTCTAACCACAGAGTAAACACCAAGCTTGGAGTTTCGGTGATCGTGGAAATGGTGTATTTATTGAGCACCTACCTCTTAAAGCCTTGTAATTCACTCATTTACTCAACAGTAAACACTCTACCACTTGAGCCATGCCTCCCTCCCCACACAGCCATTTTGCTTTTATTTTGACCAAGGCTCTCACCCAGGTAGGTGGGCTTTATAGGCTTTTGCCACCACTCCCGAGCCTCAAGTTACATTTTAACAGCATTGCCTTGGCTGCTTATAAGGAGTAGATGTAGGAAAATTTAAGACAAGTAGGAAGACCTTTTCAAGAGGTGTTTAGAGTTCTTGTCCAGATGTTGGTGATCTGATCCTAAGTGGAGGGATCATGTTGGATTACCTGGTGGATTTTATTTTATTTACTTATTTTGGATCCGGTCGTAGGGCCTGAACTCTGGGCCTGGGCGCTGTCCCTCAGCTCTTCAGCTCAAGGCTAGCGCTCTACCACTTGAGCCACAGCGCCACTTCCAACTTTTTCTTTTTGCTTATGTGGTGCTGAGGAATTGAACCCAGGGCCTTGAGCATGCAAGGCAGGCGCTCTACCACTGAGCCACCTTCCCAGCCCATACCTGGTGGATTTTAATGTGAGGCCTCAGATAAAGAATGAGTTGCTGGTTGGGAGACTGCAGGCAGGTGGCTAGATGAGGTCAGAAATTCAGTTTCAGTGAGGGGTGTGTGTGTGTTGGCAGCAGGGCCTAGAACTCAGGGCCTTGTGTCCTCACTTGGCTTTTCCCACTCAAGATTGGTGCTCGAACACTTGAGCCACAGGCCCAGCTTTTTGGTTGTTGTAGACTTTGCTGTCCTGGCTGGCTTTGAATGAGATTCTCAAATCTCAGCTTCCTAAGCAGCTAAGACGACAAGCATGAGTTACCAGTGATCAGCTAAGGGGAAGTTTTTAAGCTGTTTTTTTTTTTTTCTTTCTTTTGTCGGTCACAGGGCTTAGACTCTGGGCCTGGGCACTGTCCCTCAACTGTTCAGCTCAAGGCTAGCACTCTACCGCTTGAGCCACAGCACCACTTCTGGTTTTCTAGTGGTTAATTGGAGATGAGAATCTCACAGACTTTCCTGTCTGGGCTGGCTTTGAACCGTGATCCTCAGATCTCAGCCTCCTGAGTAGCTAGGATTATAGCTACTGGCACCCAGTGAGCTGTTTCTTTTAAAAAAAAAAAAATCTCTTTTGCCTGTCCTATCTCCAGATAGGATCTCCATCTCTCCACTCTTGTATGGCAGTATCCTTCCAGGGAGGGGAGGAGGTGCTCCAGCATGGCTGAGGAAAAGAAGCTGAAGCTCAGCAATACTGTGCTACCTTCGGAATCAATGAAGGTCGTGGCTGAATCCATGGGCATTGCTCAGATTCAGGAAGAGACCTGCCAGCTGCTGACAGATGAAGTCAGCTACCGCATCAAGGAGATTGCCCAGGTAACTAGGCCCTTGTCCAGCTGTGCTTCCTATTGAGGATGTTTCCTGGGCTCACTTCTTCCTGGGAGTCTTGGGTTGACATCTGTGCCCCTGACTGCCCCCTTTTTCCCTAGGATGCTTTGAAGTTCATGCACATGGGGAAGCGGCAGAAGCTCACCACCAGTGACATTGACTATGCACTGAAACTGAAGAATGTAGAGGTGATTGGGAGGGAGAAGAAGGGGCAGGAGACTGAGATGGAAGTAGGGTGGTAAGGTGCTATCCTCCTAGATGCTGCGATTTCCTTCAGCCAGGTCTCTCTGGACTACTTTTCACACCGTATGTGTGTCTCCCTCTTTCTTCTGACACAGCCGCTGTACGGCTTCCATGCTCAGGAGTTCATCCCTTTCCGTTTTGCCTCTGGTGGCGGCCGGGAGCTCTATTTCTATGAAGAGAAGGAGGTGGATCTGAGCGACATCATCAATACCCCTCTGCCTCGTGTGCCTCTGGATGTCTGCCTCAAAGGTTGGGGGTGGGGAGATGAAGAGCAAGATAGCAGGGAGGAGGGAAAGGAGGAGCAAGGTGTGTGGGTGTGAAGACCACCCTCCCTCCATCCCCATGAGAGTCCCTGGTGCATGCCACAAAGGGGACCAGGAAGGAACATACACATTCCTTACTACGGAGCAATGCACTGGCATCTGTGTCCAGCAACTCAACTTGACGCCTTCCTTCCTCACAGCTCATTGGCTGAGCATCGAAGGCTGCCAGCCAGCTATACCAGAGAACCCACCCCCAGGTAACTTCCACACCCAGGGCTCTCCAACCCCATCCTTTACACCTGCCCCCCACCAACTCATCACTCCTGCTGTGACTGCTTCTCCAATCAGCTCCCAAAGAGCAGCAGAAGGCTGAGGCCACAGAACCCCTCAAGTCAGCAAAGCCAGGCCAAGAGGAAGATGGACCCCTGAAAGGCAAAGGTCAAGGGGCCACCCCAGCAGATGGCAAAGGTCAGTACCCAAGCTATACCTCTCCTGATTCTTATCCCAGAGCCAGCTGGTCTTGTTTTATTTATTTTTATTTTTGCCAGCTAGGGCTTGAACTCAGGGCCTGAGCTCTGTCCCTGAGCCTCTATGTGCTCCAAGCTAGCACTGTACCACTTGAGCCACAGATCCACTTCCAGCTTTTTCTGTTTATGTGGTACTGAAGAATTGAACCCAGGGCTTCATGCATTCAAGGCAAGCACTCTACCACTAAGCCACATCCCTACCCCTGAAATTTTTTTTTTTAACTAAAGGTTAATATTCTTCCGCTTGTGCCACAGCTCCATTTCTAGTTTTTTGTTGGTTAATTGAAGAGTCTCATGATTTTCCTGAACAGGCTGGCTTGAACCTCAGTCCCCAGATCTCAGCCTCCTGAGTAGCTAGGATTTATAGGTGTGAACCACCAGTGCCCTACATTCATTTTTGTTTGTGTTTTTGTGGTGGTCCTAGAGTTTAAACTCAGCACCTTACAGGCAGGCGCTGTACCACTTGAGCCACACTCCTAGCCCGATTGTCATTTGTGTCACGCGCAGTCAGGGCCAGAAGGAAGAAGAAGACTGATACTGAGCCCTCTTCTAGAGCTTTCCTTTTCAAACCTGTGTTCCCCAATTCCCAACAGGGAAGGAGAAGAAGGCACCACCCTTGCTTGAGGGGGCTCCTTTGCGCCTGAAGCCCCGTAGCACTCATGAGCTGTCCGTGGAACAGCAGCTGTATTATAAGGAGATCACAGAAGCTTGCGTGGGCTCATGTGAGGCCAAGAGAGCGGTGAGCACCCCCACTGCCTGCTCTTGTCCTAAGACCCTTCTGGTAGCCCTGACAGATTCTGCCTCTCAATACCTACCCTCACCTGATTGGCTGTCCTCCTCCCACAGGAAGCTCTGCAGAGCATTGCCACAGACCCAGGGCTCTATCAAATGCTGCCACGATTCAGCACCTTTATCTCAGAGGGGGTGAGAGAACCAGGAAGGCCAAGGGGTATGGGGACGGGGAGAGGAATCTGAGGGAAGTGTCCCTGAGGGGTATCCCCGCTTATAATTACACTTCTCCCCTCGGAAGGTCCGTGTGAATGTGGTGCAGAATAACCTGGCTTTACTCATCTACCTGATGCGCATGGTTAAAGCACTGATGGACAACCCTACACTCTATCTAGAAAAATATGTGAGTGGCTTTGCGCGCCTTATCTTCCCAGGGTCAGGAGACTCTGCTGCCACCCACAGGGAGTGTGGGCCAGCACCAGCCCACCTCTCTGCTCTTCTTTAGGTGCATGAGCTGATCCCAGCCGTGATGACCTGCATCGTGAGCCGACAGCTGTGCCTGCGACCTGATGTGGACAATCACTGGGCTCTCCGGGACTTTGCTGCCCGCCTGGTGGCCCAGATCTGCAAGCATTTCAGCACAACCACTAACAACATCCAGTCCCGCATCACCAAGACCTTCACCAAGGTGAGTCCCGAGCATGTGATTGTCAGCTGTTTCATGTCACCATCCTGAGTTGTCACCAGGACAGTGAAAACTTTACCCAACCAGTGGTGGGACTGTAGAGGAAATAACACCTAGAACACCTAGAACAAAGGGACCAGGAAATTGGACTGGTGGGTGGGGTTGTAGGGACTTAATACTTGTACATCTCAATAAATTTTACTGATATTTTTATGTGTGTCTGCTGGTCTTTGAACCACACCTCCACTTCCTTTACTTACTTGGGCATTTGGTTATTTGGTGTTTGATGAACTCAGGGCCTGGGCACTGTCTCTTAGCTTCTTAAGGTTAGCACTCTAGCACTTAAACCACAGCTCCATTTCCAGTTTTCTTGTGCTTAGTTAGAGATGAGTCTCACAGACTTTCCTGCTGGGACTGGTTTTGAACTGTGTTCCTCAGATTTTAGCCACTGGAGTAGCTAGGATTATAGGCATGAATCCATAGCTTCTAGCTTCTTAGTGATTTTTTTTAAGGATAGAGCATTTGTCGAAGATACGTGTCTTTAGCAGTTAGCCTTTCCAGACCCCGTCATCTGGGTTTATTTTCTTCCTTACAGAGCTGGGTAGATGAGAAGACTCCGTGGACAACACGCTATGGTTCTATTGCAGGCCTCGCAGAGCTAGGACATGACGTGAGGTCCCAGGGAGAACTGAGGGAGGGAGGCAGTCTGTCTCCCCAACAGAGGGCACTCCTGTCCTCCACACCCTCAGACTCCTGGTAACCCGTGGCCCTGGCTTCTCCCCTAACTTTCCAACAGGTGATTAAGACTCTGATCCTGCCACGGCTGCAGCAGGAAGGGGAGCGAATCCGCAGTGTCTTGGATGGCCCTGTGCTTAGCAACATTGACCGAATTGGAGCTGACCATGTGCAGAGCCTCCTCTTGGTGATTGGAGCCCCTCTCCTGCCCCACCTCCTTTCTTCCCCCCAACACATAATTTCAGTGCTTAGTAAGCATCTAGCACATTTTATTCACTTATTTCCATATGATTCCAAATACTCTTTGGAGGCCAGGGTGGTTTGTGAATAGAGAAGCAGGCACAGATTGGCTGAGTGAGTCTTAATGCTCAGCCTGTGACTTCAGGACTGTACTGCCCCAGTCTCAGGCTTCTGCATTACAGCTCTGCCTGCTGTGCAAGGCAGATGTGCACCCTAGAGATAAAGTCCTGTTGGTGATAGCAGGTCTTCCTCACCCCTCTTCACCAGCCTGGGGTATTCCTCACATACACTCAGTCCAGCAGTGTGGCCTCCAGCAGGGATGATAGGTAAGCTTTGACCCTGCTCCGTGCCAGCCCTCCCTCTTTGCCTTCTCTGTAGAAACACTGTGCCCCGGTTCTGGCTAAGCTGCGCCCACCACCTGACAATCAGGATGCCTACCGGGCAGAATTTGGTTCCCTTGGGCCCCTCCTCTGTTCCCATGTGGTCAAGGCCCGGGCCCAGGCTGCTCTGCAGGCACAGCAGGTCAACAGGACCACGCTGACCATCACTCAGGTCAGCCACCCAGGTGGGGAAAGGGGGAGGAAGTGAGAAGGATCCCCCAGATCTAGGCACGTGCAGGCCCTGAGTCAACACTTCTGGGAGTCTGGGTCCCCTCAGTGAAGGATGCCCCAACCCCAAGAACTATAGAGCAAGAGCCACCCACGTCTCCCCTCCAGCTCTTCTTTTTGCTTAGTTGTCATCGTCTTGCCTCTTTTCCCTCCAGCCTCGGTCCACACTGACCCTCTCACAAGCCCCTCAGCCTGGCCCTCGGACCCCCGGCTTGCTGAAGGTCCCTGGCTCTATAGCACTGCCTGTCCAGACACTGGTGTCTGCACGGGCCGCTGCCCCACCTCAGCCATCCCCTCCGCCAACCAAGTTTATTGTAATGTCATCCTCCAGTGCCTCCTCCACCCAGCAGGTAGGAGCTGGGTATGGGGAAGGAGATATGGGGAAGTGGAAGTGCCCTAGGTTGGTTGCCTCAGAGTGTAGCCCTGTCCCTTCAGGCCCAAGTCGGGAGATGGAAATGCCACTGGCCAGGGTCTCCTGGGACTGCAGCTGGCTGGGGATGGAAACTAACCTTTCTTGGGGGGGTGGGGGGTGCAAGAGTAAGAAAGAGTTAACTACAGAGACCTGGAAAAGATGTAAGGGCTTAAGGGGGAACAAGTATGCTGTCAGCCCCAGGCCTGGGTGGCACAGCCTTCCTCTCTCCCTAGGTCCTCTCCCTCAGCACCTCAGCCCCTGGTTCAGGCTCCACCACTACCTCTCCTGTTACCACCACGGTGCCCAGCGTGCAGCCCATCGTCAAGCTCGTCTCCACTGCCACCTCTGCGCCCCCCAGCACGGCCCCCTCTGGTCCTGGCAGTGTCCAGAAGTACATCGTGGTCTCACTTCCTCCGACGGGGGAGGGCAAAGGAGGCCCCCCTTCCCACCCTTCTCCAGTCCCTCCTCCATCCTCCTCCCCCTCCCCACTTGGGGGCAGTGCTCTCTGTGGCGGAAAGCAGGAAGCTGGGGACAGCCCCCCTCCAGCTCCAGGGACTCCGAAGGCCAATGGCTCCCAGCCCCCTGGATCTGGCTCCCCTCAGTCTGTTCCGTGACTGCACCACTGGTCTGCTGACCTCATGCACGGATTCCTGCACATGCGCGCCAAGTGGGAGGGAGTAGGCCTCTTCCCTCACTTGACTTTCTTTTTAGATACTGTACAGTCGTCAGCTCCTCAGAATAAAAGTTTGATTTGTAAGTTCTGAGCCTTCCACGTCACCTGCAATGGAAGGGGCCAGTCTGCAGAGCCCTCTGGGCTTAAGATTCAGAATTACTTGTGCCCAGATGCTCCACCGCAGGCTAGAGCCTGGGAGGAAAATGTCCTTTTCTTTTTCACCTGCTTGTTGCCTTTGCTGCCTACGTCCTTGTCTGGGCAGCCTCAGATCCGAATGACATAGGCATCACTGTGGCTTAGGTGGCGTACCCACTTGTGGGGATTGGCATTTCCACAAGGGCTGAAGGACAGCCTGAGGAATCGAACCTGGAGGCCAGAACATGTGTGCCTGGGGAGTTCAAAGGAGAGGCTGGCTGGTCCTAGCCCCAGCGGGGGTGCGGAGGTGGAGGGCCCATGGGTGGGAGGCCCTGCCAGGGTAGGGACATCCATCTGTGAGGAAAGAAGACAGGGAGGCCATGAGGCTGGCTGCTGCCCATGCTGGTGGCAAAGGCAGAGCAGCTGCACTGGGAGACTGGTGCAGGACTGCTCAGGGGCCCCGGTGAAGGTGGGACAGAGAGCGTGAGCTGGACAGTGGATACCTGGAAAAGGCCTGAGAGCTGAGATCCTCCTTGTACCCGGGGCAGGTCCCAGCGCAGGGCCCCCTCTCCCAGCTCTGCCTTCTGCTCTGGGCTGCTTAGCTCCTGAGACAGGCTGGAGGAAGGAAAGGGTTGGGAAGGAGAGGTGCTGGGTTCAGCTTCACCTTGCTTGGCATTTACACTCCACCCCAGGGAAGCTGGCACTAACCTGACTACCCCTCTCGGCAGGGGGAGATGCAGTCGGACGTGGAGAGCTTGGCTGCAAAGAAAGGCACAGATAGGGTCATCTCTAGAAAAGTCGTACTCCATTACCTTGTTCATCAGTCTTGAGGCTTGAACTCAGGCCTTATGAACTATCGCTTAAGCTTTTTCACTTAGGGCTGGCACTCGCAACCACTTGAGTCACAGCTCTGCTTCTGGCTTTTTGCTGGCTCATTGGAGATAAAAAGTCTCATGAACTTTTCTGCCCATGCTGGCATTGAACTGTAATTCTCAGGTCTCAGCCTCCTGAGTAGCTAGGATTGCAGGCGTGAGCCACCAGCGCCCACCTTGCGTTGTTCCCTGTCACTATGGAGCACAGCACAGGTGCATCCCCACCCCCACACCATCCCAAAATGCTAGAGCTCCTGATTTGAGTGACTTCTGAGGCCAGGGGATGAGTCTGAAGGAAAAAGCCCATTGTTGCTGCTGACCCTGGCTCTGGCCAGCCAGCTTACCTCTTTGGGGGTAGGTCGCACCGTAATTTCAGATAAACCTGGAGCCTATTGCAGAGAACAAGATAGCAGTATTTAGACCATATGCAACAGGTATCTCACCATTTATCACCCAGGGCCTCCATGTGAGGCTGTATAGGTTGTACCCCAAGTAGCCAGGCCAGAATCTAGCCAGACACAGCCAAGTCTTTCTAGTTGTATGCTATCACCCTTACCACCACCCTTCAAGACAAGAATTACTCTTGGGAACATACAGTCTTAGCTTCCAGAGTAGTCCTAAAATACAGGAAATGGTCTCACCGGCCTGAGCCTCGGTCCCACTGCACAGAGGGAAAGAGCCGGAAGGGGAGTGGGGAGGGGAGGTCATCGGAGAGTTGGTACCGCATCACAGTCAGCTGAGGCCAGAGGGGGAGGAGGTCAGTGTGGTCTCCATTCCACACTGTCTCCCGCCCCTAGGGTGGATGGAACACACTAGTCCACCCAGAGCCTGACCTCGCCCTGAGGAGGCTGTAAGCGGAGGATCCGATGTGACTCAAACTCATCCAAGTTTACTGAGCTGTGAAAGGAGACTTCATCAACCCGGATTCCTGGCCCATAGCCTGCAGAGAGATAGAGACTCTTCTGAGAAAAAAACTTGGGGAGAGCACAGGGAGGGGAGAAAATGCTTGCTTCTCTCTCACTCTTCACTTCTTTTGTGCTGGTGCTGGGGCTTGAAGTCAGGGCCTGGCACTGTTCCTGAGTTTTTGTGCTCAAGGCTAACACTCTACCACAGTGCCATTTCTGGCTTTTTGGTGGTTAACTGGGGATAAAGAATCCCTCAAACTTTCCTGCCTGGGTTTGCTATGAACCATGACTCAGATCTCAGCCTCCTGAGTAGCTAGGATGACAGGCATGAGCCACCCTGCCTGGCTGTTTCTGATTTTCTCCATGAAACCTTCAGCAGTAACCTCCCCTAGGAAAGACTCGAGTTCTCACCTCTCAGTTCTGACTTGCCCACACAGAACTCTTCTGTCAAGCCAATGCGTATCTCTGTTGGAAGAAAAAGCATCAGGGAGAGGGTCAGCTAATGTCATGGATGCCATCAGACAGCCTGTTCCGCATTCCATCCCCGGTCCTCACCAGAGCCACTGGGCAAGAAACTCTTGAGTCGAATCTCTCCCTGCACATCCACCTTCAACTGGGAGCCCTGGGAGTGGCAGGGAGGTTAGGCGCAGTCCTGGTCTCCCCCACCTGCTGCCCAAGTACCAGTTAACTGTCTTCAGCTCTGGGGCTGGGAGCTCAAACTTACATTAGATGCAATCAGCACAGACAGTCTCTCTACTACATCCAAAAAAACTTCGTTCTTTTGGCTCTGAGAAAGAAGAGAGGATTTAGTAGTAGAGGGTAAGGGCCTGTGATCTAAAATAGATAGTGGAGGCTGACATTTGGGCATCAAGGTTCAAAGCCAGACTGGGCAAACAAATCCAAGAAACTCTTTATCTCCAATTAACTAGCAAAAAACTGGAAGTGGAGGTATGGCTGTAGTGGTAGAATCCAGCCTTGAGTGGAAAAAGCTAAGTAACAGCTGCCGACCTTGGGTTTAAGCCCCAGTAACAGTACCAAAATAAATAAATAAAAAATTTAAAGGCAGAAAGGACAGAGAAATTGAACCAAAACCCTGGAGAAGGAACACAGGGTGAAGGCAGATGTCTAGGGAAATGGAAAGATATGGCAGCCTCTTAGATTCTGAGGTCCCAGAAAAAAAAATCAGAAAGCCTGACCTCAATGATCTCTCCCTTACCTGGTCAGAGCGACTGGACAGGACTGGGCGGCCAGCTGCGCTACTGGGGGCCACTTTGCTCTGTTGGGTCTCGGCCCCAAACTGAAACACCCAAAGCAAACAATGGTCAGCTTCGATGCTCCCAGCCAACCTTCTTGGGGTTGTCCCTTCTTCCTGGCTACTGACCAGGCCAACGCTGCTGAGGTCAAAGAGGCTGAAGGGCTTGCTGACCACAGCTTCTGTCTGAATAAAGTTCTTCAGCATCTCTGTGGATGTAGTCTGTACATAGCCATAGTCCTAATGAAGGGGAAAGGTAGAAAAGGAGTGGATTTAGCTTCCCAACTACAGAACCCCACAGTTGAAGAGTGAAGAGGTATATCCTCAGGAATCAGGGAAGTCCTAGGGCCTTACCAAAACCTCATCTAGGAGTTCATAGACCAGAGCCACATTGCGGGAGATGGTCCCCTCACTGAGGGTGCCGCAGTAATCACCCAGGAGAGTGGCTAACCTGAGAAAACAGGGCAGAGTATGTACATGCTCATAATCCTTCTCTCAGGTCCTACTCCCAGCCCCTCTCACCTAGAGAGTAACTCTAGCAGGCCAAAGGGAGAGACGTTTTCAAAAGTAGTGGCCACCAAATAGAGGCTGCTGTGTCTGATGTGAATGAAGTGCCGGTCACCATAATGCTGGTGGAGATAAAAGGCATTAGGAAGAGGTCTGTAATTAATGATCAAAGACTCAAAAGAGAGGTGGGTGGCTGATGGCTCACATCACCCTAACCACTCAGGAGGCTTGGAATCTGAGGATTGAGGTTCCAAACCAGCCTGTCCAGTCTGTGAGACTCGCCAATGAACAACCCAAAAAGCTCACAGTGGAGCTGTGGCTCAAGAGATAGAGCTCCAGCTAAGCGACAGTGCCCAAGCCCTGAGTTCAAGCCCACACTACTGAGACACACACAGACAGACACAGACACAGACACAGACATACACGCCTGAAGTCCCTGCCAGCTGTAAGAGCAATGTGACTAGGCCATATCCTGAACCCTCCCTAAGGCCCCGTTTCCTATTGTGTCAAGGGAGTTACTGATAGTACCCTACCCAGAGCTGTTGCGGGTCAGAGGTGGAAAGCACTAGAATGGCTCTGAGCGCTCAGTAAACTCGGATTCACCTCGTGCGGGGGAATGTACACACACAGCACGCCCCCACACCCTCGTAGGAAGCCTTGAAAAGAGAGGTGGTGGGGTAGGGCACCCACCAGGCCGGACAAGCCCGCAGCCCCCTCCCCACCCGCCCCGTGGTTACCATGACAACCGGGGACTCATCTCCAGGCAGTCCCGTCAGCTTCCGGTAGAACTGCTCGGCCACATCCAGACCACCAGTGTCCCCGCGAACTGGCCAGATGGAAGGACAGTTAAGGAGCCGGCGACACAGACGGGTTTGGGGCTCCATTTCCACCCAGCCACTCAACTCCCGCCCCGCAGGCCAAGGATACAGTCTTTATAGATGAGCGGGTCCCCCTTGGAAGACAGGATGAAGAACTGGGAAATCATGGCCGCTCGGGAAGACTAGACAGAAGGACGGTTAAAGTTGGGCCTGCCCCGCCCTTCGGGTCGGGAACAAAAGGACAAGCTTAGGCTGGCCCTTTAAGAGTGACTCCCCTCCGCCCGCGCCGGCTCTCACCGCGGGAAACGCGACCCCGGCCCCGCCTCCTTTGGCCTTGCCTTCCAGCCCCGCCCACCGCTTCTCTGTCACTCAGCCCAAACTCGCCCAGTGATTGGATAAGGTCGGAGCCAGAAGCGGCGGGTGGGAGGGAGGTGGAGAGTTGTCCATTCCAATTGGCCCGCACGCAGCGTGGCCGGTCACATGAGAGGGGACGTTTCGCGCCAATTTCGGTTGGCCGGCCACAAGTCCGCCGCACAAACGTCTTGGGATTCCCGCGAGTGAAACAACCGAGCCCGCCAACTGCCGCTGCACGGTC